TCCTCTGCACTGAGCTGTGAAGGTGATAACATATCCATCAGTAGTAAACTTTTTTTTGTCTGATTGACAGACACACAGTCATGCAGAAATATATGTCTACCCCTGATGAATTCAAAAAGTTGTTCACTCCCATCTCTCCTCTTTTGACCTCATTCCCTGTCTCCCTCCACCTCTGTCTCTGTAGTCTCTGGAAGGTTCAAAAAGGCAAGTGTGGACAGCTGCGGCTCTTTGACCTTCAGAGATTGTGTAGTTTTTAAAAATCCCACATGCATGTTAACCATCTCTCCATGCCAGACACATGCTCATCACTCCTGGGATACAGAGGGTTGTTTTATGTTATCAATGAAAATGATCTCTTAGATCTCCGTGAGCCACAGCATATTCATGATATAGTGTATAAAATGTAGCTACATGATCTACAGTGTAGCATTTTTACTGACTGGATGGCCTTTTAAGTCATCCAGTTATAATTTCACGTTGCTATAATTAAGATAATTGCTGCCTTACATTTCAGTGTAATCTGTATAATCATGACATTAAGTAGGCTACTACAGCTAAATAACATACAATCTGAGGTCCTTAATCACTGATTTTAATCTCTGGACTTCAATTTTACAAACGTGGAAGGAAGCTTTTGTTGTTATGTTAAGAAAGAAGTTGAGGGCCAAAAAACATTATTCTTGTTTGTGTGAGCTTATTGACTCACATTTCTACACATGTATCTTTAGTTTTCTCTTGGTGTTGAATATTGGATTTACTGTGACACTGTGTCTTCTTAAGCACAGTGAGGAGAACTGGTTTTGTTCATTATTTTGATATCCTTTGTCGGCTTCAGAGGGGTAATTGGACACACACTCATGACTAATTCTTTCAGCCCAGACTTCTGCTGCATCTCAATTCTCTGCTCTGGTGCAGCTTGTCCCAACAAACCAGCCCTCATGCTGCAACCACTGTTTTCTTCTGTTGCCATGACAGCTCGTATCTCAGTTGGAGACGGGAAGTCGCATGATTTATGAAATGAATTTATCATTACAAAAATTGCCTGCGAGAGGCAAGCGCTGAGTGTATATACACCAGGGGTATGGATCTATGTGTGTGTGTGTGTGCTTTGGTCTGTTTCTGTTTTGTGCACGCTGTGGCTTATCCTGTCAGTGCATCTCTGCTGTGTGTGTGTGCGTGTGTGTTTGTATGTATGTTTGTAGTGCTAAAAGGCTTGGCACGGAGCAGACCTTTTGTGGTTGGCAGCAGTGGGCACTCTGCCCAGCTTGTATGGTTTATGGATGTGAGTCAGAACTGCATTAGCCTCTGGCCAGAGAAAAGAGTGCCCATCTTCCTGGTGTGAAAATCCTACAAATGTGCCAACACTGACAGCATTTAACAGAAACTGATACAAGCATGCAAATCTGTCTGACATGCATCTCATGCTGTCGGTCTATCAATAGTTACATTGACGCCGCACAAAAGGAAGCATGAGCGTAAATGAAATGCCAGCATGGGAAAACTAGCCTCCGAGGTTGATTTCACGCTACAGCAGCAGGTCACATGTCTTAATTTTGAAAGTTTAATTGTAAAATTTTCCAAAACTGTAGGTAGTCAAAGTTCATCTAAGAGTTACTAATACCTTTCAGAAAAAAGCACCATACCATCTCCCTTTGAGCTCAAGCTAATGATATTACTGTAATAAACCCACCAATTATATGTAACACTGTATGAAAAAATAATCAATTCTGAATTTCAACTGAATGCCTCAACTTTACATAATTAAAGTGCCATGTGAGAAATCGCACAATTAACAGAGTGCCTTACAACCAGCGGCTAAAGTAATGTTTGATTCTCATAACCTCTGTGATGGAACCAGTGGAGCAAAAAAAAAGGAGGTGGAGAAATGAAGATTTCAGAAATGCATTAAATCTGTATTTCATCAAATTAGAAGTAGAAGCTCCTTGAAAAGCTGCCACGAGGCATGAATGGTGAATGACCAAGGCTCTTCCAAACAGAATATTAATAGGTAATTATACTCACTTGTACCTCCATTGCGTACATCATCGGCCTTGGCAGTAACACAGTATTTATGGAATTGATATGGCTTTTAAGAAAAGAGAACTGTCACATAAAAGATGTCTGGATAGTTTCTTTTATTTTTACCTTTTTCCCCCATTTGCATGTTGGGAGAAGACATGACAGCAATGAGAGTTTAATTCCCACTTAGAAGACGCTATTTGATAAGATGTAATTACCTGTGAGTTGATATTTTCATTGGGCTGTCAGTAAAGTTGTCCAGCCCATGGGACTCCTAATGACTGAGGACCACACACACACACACACACACACACACACACACACACACACACACACACATATATATATATATTAACACATACCTGTGTTTTTGTTCTTTTGCCTTCCATATTTACTCCCAGTTCACCTACTCAGCCATAATAACCCTACTAACACATCCTTCATTTCTGAACTCCCAATGGCTTTGCTAATTTACTGTGCTTTTGCTTGTTTTCCCTGCCTCTTCTTTCTTTCTTTTCTTCTTTCTCTTGACTCCCAAATGCACATGATTGTTTTCTGGTTAGCCTACAGCATGAATTTAATCAAAGCTCACTTTTGCGCCGGCACCTCTCGTGACTGGGGAGGATTTAGGCCCAGTTGGAGAAGGAGTGCAATTAGCTGAGACAAGGCTAGTTAATCTTCCCCATCTGAATACCCCCAACAGGTCCGCAACACCTTTTATTTCTAATCACACCTGCTGCTGAAAGACAGTTAGGCTTGTTCCGCCATGATGTAATCGAGCCAGGGAAGTTATCAAGACTGTAATGTGGTGAATGTTTACAGTGTAAGGTGTTGATAAAGATTCAGTGAGGTTTTCAAACTTCAGTCACTAGTAGCTTCTATTCACGCGCATCTTGCCAGGGGAAAACACTAATGTAGAGAGAGACAGACACACAGAGACACACTCATCTTTGACTGTTCAGCGAGAGTGGTGCTGATTGATGCGCCCTCGTGAACTTCGTTAAAATGTACCGAGGGTCAGCAGCAGGGCAATGTGTAGACAGCCCTGAGGCTAAACAAGAATATACCACTTCTACTCTACATCAGTATACCATCGCTCACACAAATGGCCACATGTAGTTTAAATTAACAACCTTGTGCTTTTGACTTGCTCTGAACTTCACAGCTATCGATGCGCCACTTCAACACATTGTAGTAACATTCGCAGTGAGTCACCATAATATCAAATTGGACAGATAAGAAAAAACTTTATGTGTGCCTGTTGGAAATACCACTTTGCTGACACTATGCATGTTCGTGAAAGCAGAAGTAGCCCTCAAAAGACTGCAGAGTGAGCATTTAGAAAGCAATATAATGCAGGGGTGTTGCATTTGAAGCATGTACCTCCTTTGTAGGAAATGAAATGGTTTCAGTATGTGTGATGTGGTTCATGGCATCTGGGAATTATTCAGACGTGAGTTTCTTATAGCTTTGAAGTCCGGTCAGCCTGCAATGTCTCATCGCAAGAAGAGGGTGAAATGGTTGTCTAGTAAAAGACAATTCAATTTATTGCAGATGTATTTGAGGCCAGGCTGCAGGGTCAGGTTTATTTATTTACCTGTTTAGCTCCTGGTTTAATTGTTGCAATTTGCCAGATGTACTTCTGTTGAAAGGTTTTTATGGCCTGTGCATGCAAATACATTTATTACAGACGCAGGAACAGCAGATTCATTATCTGCATGGTTTTCAGCATTTCTGCTACCATTGTTTGGAAATCTGGTAGTGCTGATGCATTTACTGTATATAGGTAGGAGATGGGGACTACTTTGGTGAGAGATGTGGGAATGAATGCTCTTAAGTATATATTACTATAGCATTGTTGCTTATAGTTGTACCTTCACAACTCCACACCATCTCGATCTGCATCTCAGACAGTGTGTGTGTTTGTGTGTGTGTGTGTATGTGTAGGTGTGTGTTGAGTTACAGCATGTCAAGACTGACAGCTGGCTAAACCCTATTAAACCGGTCACCACATTCCTGGGGTGCGCCATTAAAGGTGACCCAATGCCCCTCAACATACACACAATACACACACACACACACACACACACACACACACACACACACACACACACACACACACACACACACACACACACACACACACACACACACACACACACACACACACTAACTGAGAGGGGCTTGTAAAACATGACAGATTTATCCTCTTTCCTCTCCTTTCTGTTTTGAGAAGGTGTTGGCTCTACAAGCTATTTTGGTTAGGTTTATGTGTGAGTATACAAACCGTGAATATAGAGGTATGTGGGGAATACAACAACTCTTTTGACCTTGGCTGTGTTTGGTACTTTTCCATTTTGATGTTACATAATCTATTGTTAGGATGAAAAGAACATTGTGCAAATGTAGCCTAAATCACACCAGGGGTCATTTTTTAAAATGAAGAAAATATTTTATTGCCAAGAGCCATAGACAAATCAAACAAGCTGTAAAAGACTGGGTCGGTAAGGTCGAATATTGGAAATTATTTGCGCCAGGTCATCCAAGGGTTGACCTCTGTCCGCATTTGTGCGCAGCAAAGAAAGTTTTTAGTGGATTTTCACATTCATTACTCAAGGAAATTTCAACTTACATTATGATTGTGATGGTAGACGTAACCTCCAATCCCTAACACCATTTCACTTAACTGCTTGTTCTGTTACCCTGAGGTGGAAGCTTGGCTGGCTGTGTCTACACCTCCATGCACTACACACATGCACACACATGCACTGTAGAACAGTAGCAATGCATTCCTAGCAGGGTCAAAGCTCATCAGTAACCCCCACCTCTCTTTCTCTCAATCTGTCTCTCTCTTTGTCTATTTATCTGTGTCTCTCTCTCTCTCTCTCTCTCTCTCTCTCTCTCTCTCTCTCTCTCTCTTCACCCCCACCTTTCTTCCCAAACTTTTCTACGCTTCAGCAGAGCCCAGGAAAGCAAGTCTGTGTCATTCATCCACTCTTACACACATTCAAACACACCTACCTCCTCTTTCACTCAGATATAGACACACAGATACGCACTTTGATTCTCATGTACCATTCAGTCGTTTATCTCTCATAACACCCTCTGCAGGAATACAATATTAATTCCAGACTTTTTTTCCCCCCCTGAATTGGATTAAACTTTTTTGCGTATTTTAGGGGGTATTTTTCCCCTGTCGACCGTCAAGAGGTCACGTGGATTGGGAAGATAATGATGATTCACTTGTCTGCAGTGGTAAGTGGGAATGTGTGGGCCCATTTTAGGGCCATAGTCAAAACCCATTACTTTAACTGCACTTTAATGTGGTGCTTTACAGAGGAGTTTTGAATTCTTAACTGCCCAGATACCCTTTGTTACAGGCTAAGTGTCTGGACTAAGGCCAACACTTTTCATACTGAGCCTTTACTGCAGCTCTTTACAGTCCAATTTCTCCTTAAACATCATTACTTATCAGATATTAGTACTTGCTGTTTGCTCTGAATTGCCTTTATGTGATAAGGTGCAGAAATGGTCTAAAATGTGGTCTACTTTGTTTAAAACCACACACTTACAAATACACACACTGTCCATGCAGTGCAAATGTCCTACATACATGCATGTGTACGTTTGTCTTTGGCATGAGCTATCTGCTTCTCTGCACAAGTTAATGCAAAGATTTTACACTTCCAAACAAGATGTCATGCATTTTACACTCAGGTTTGTTCTAGTGTATAGTAGTAAATAGACCATACCAAGTTGTTTTGTTGTCAGGAGATGGAACTATGTAGAATTAATTGAGGATTTCTTCCTCTCATGCATAGACTTGTCTGTGTTGGCAAACTGCAAATGCAAAGTGATATTAAGACAGTATGCTGCAGCCTGTGAGCTGTGTATAAGAGTGTGTGCTTTTCATTGTTAGTGTGTGTTTTAGCTGTAGATCTGAATTTTATTGCACCAAAGACATCTGCTATCATACATTGTAGTTATGGACTGTGTGTGTGTGTGTGTGTGTGTGTGTGTGTGTGTGTGTGTGTGTGTGTGTGTGTGTGTGTGTGTGTGTGTGTGGTCTCTTTTCACTGTTACCAGTTTCCCACCTACGGGGATAATCCATCCTGTGAAGTGGTGAGGTGGAAAATGCCATTATGTAGAAATAGCTGACATGCAGTTAGACTTGCAGGGCATATGATGTGTGAGCAAGTGTGTGTGAGAATAGGAGATAGGGAACAGAGAGGGAGTGTAAGGGCCAGAGACAGTAAAGTTCATTTTGTAACATTATTTAATCCTCCCGGGGCAGTGATAAGCTAAAGGCCTCGGACACAAAACACACACTGTCTCCTCGGCGAGGCTGGAGAAAGTGCTTGTGATCCCAGCGTGGTGTGAGTGATGGATGCAGTCTTGTGCAAGTGTTTTTTTGATGTGGGATCATCACAAGCATGTTGTCTGAGTATCTGACCCAGGCTTCTGATATGATTAGTGGTGACTTTTGCTGCTAGAGGAAACATTTGTATTTTCCCCAATGGTTTATGACCAAATAACTGCAAAATTTTCATGTACCGTAAGCATTTACCTCAAAACACTGCTGGAATGGCCACCTATAGGGGTGGGTCATGTTTTAACTTCTGTTCAAAATAATTTCGATGCACTACACATTTATGTCAAGCTAAAATCCTTTGCGCATTTGCTCAACATTAGGATTCACTGCTTGCTTCAGGAAACTTCTGGCACCTTTGGCATATGATAACATGAAAAAGTTTTAAGAAGTGTGTCATCACATTTAAGCTATCATAAAACTCTGCTTTGCTGAACACCCATACAAAACCTATTTAAAAATCCCGCCGTAGGATAGCTACAGTAACTGTCTACTTCTGCACTTGCTGTCATTCATCAAAACACACACATTTGTCCTCTCTGCACCTCAGTAATAAGAAGATACATGCAGAGACAGAGCTTAGATCTGCATTGGTATGTGAGGGGGGGGAAGTGTGGTTTTCAGGTTCTTACATTAGAGTTCAAGCTCTGCCTGTTCTCACTTCCATCTGCAGAAGCTGTAAACTATAGTAGTCATGCCTTGAGCCATTCTGACTTTGTTAGGCCATGTGATCAAATCACACTGAGTAATATTCTGGAATTCAAATAGTTTCACATTGATTTTAGTTATTTTTTATGTCCTCATCATATGAATTGATAGCTTAAATATAGTCTCATGACGAAAACATTAGAAGTGATGTATCGGTGGATAGCTCGATGGATGGAATGTGATTCGTAAAAGCCAAAAGAAATCTGTCATGTTTTCATCTCATGTATAGTAGTTGAGTGAAGGCAGAGCTCTCTTTGATGTTAAGCTTATGAATTTGCAAAAGCACATGCCCATACAGTGTACACACACACACACACACACACACACACACACAGACACTTAGGCACACATAGACACTTGTGTGGAGACGTGTTGAGCTAATGTAAAACATAACAGCACCAACCATTTCCTAGATCACTGTTAATGCATTGAACGTGTTGCTCTCTGATGGGGGTTCATTCATTTCAAATGGGATAATCCGTTACTGCTGCATGATTCCTTTGCCAGTGCCTCATGTGCTGATTTAAGTGTTGGATTTACTCTACTTAGGCATTGATTATGCTCACTTAACTGAATGTTGTTCTAGCTCTTTCTGCTGATACATGTCTGTGGTCCTCAGTACACATTTAGGGTTTTAACACTCAACACATTCTGGCTGCAAGAAGCTTGAGTTGAAGTCGAAGAGGACCTTTAAGTAGCACGGTTCAACAAAAAACTTACTATAATTGCAGTATACTTCCGTACTTGCTTTTAAATACCACCTTTAAAGGTAGGGTCTCAGTGGGAGATAATATGCCAGTAAAGCAGCTGTAATGTTTCAGAGGAACTGAATTGCCTCCACTCAGTGTATTATGCCAAGTCAAAAGCTGTAGCCTTGGGGCTAATCACTTTCATGCTAACCTGAAGTTTCCTCTGTCTGTCAAGTAAGGAAAAGAGGAGGATGTTCTGTATCACAGAATGTTACTGTACCTCCATTTACTCTCATGGACAGAATAGTCTCCTTCCATCTAGATTGCTGTAAAGAAGAACTGTGCTTTCACAAGTGGGGCTCATCTGTCTAAATGTACCTGTCCTGCTGTCATTTTTTTAGAAACACTGCCAAAAACCATCTCGGTTCACTCGTCTCCCACACATTCACCGCTGAAATTTGATTATGCTCATTTCCTATTGGTATTGGTAAAAATAACTGTGAGTTGTGTGAGTGTCATTTGCATATTCATCCATCTCTTCCCTTGTAACAGGTGCCTTTTTTTCCCAATTTTTTTTATGGTGTCATTGTGTTATGGTCAAACATGAAACACATACAGTACACAAAACATAACAGAGGACAGGTGGAAACTGTAATTTCACACACGTTTCCCGTTATTGCAGATTTGCCATGGAGCTACATTTCTTTAACCAAGTGCAAGGTAGCATGCAGACACATCGGAAGCAATTAGCCATGCTGTCTTGGCCTTAGCTCAGTAGATAATGACTGCTGCAGTGTGAGTTCCAGGAAATGGCAGGCCCTTCGGGAGTTTGCGTAATCCTCGGTCAAGGACAGGTGCATGTGGTCGTTGGAGGTTTGACCAGTTCACACATCTGTTGCAAATGTGGCATCATACAGGAGCTTCCTTGAACCGACACTCTGGACTGTGCATCTCTCCTCTTCAAGCTACTTTAACTGAAAGTGTTCAACAAATTGATCAACCATATTTTGACGTCTTTGTCTTCAGCCCAAAAAGCATATTCACATTTCACTTTGTATGTTAAACGCATGATGAAACACTTGATTGATTCTTTTTATATGCCCTATATATGACGTGTCCCTATCAACAGCCATTTGTTCTGCGAAAATGGCCTCACTAAAATAAATGAGTATTATAGCCTATGGCTAAATTTACCTTTGGTTTTGACAAGGGAAAAATTTTAATTTGTTTCATTGATGAATGGTATGAACTATATCAACAAAACAGTGGCATTGCAGTCAGGTCAACCTGCAGCTTGATTTGGTAAGAAACTCTGCCATGTAAAGTAGTCATAATGGATTATTGGGGTAATAACTTTTAATGTGAATGTATGTCCATAATGTTTAGACTTCCCAATAACTGCTTTTAATAGCTGGGTTCATATTGGACATTTTAAAAGCCCTTTTGATGCTTTTATTTCCATGCTGTTACTGGAGTCGTTGTAAAACAGTTTACAGGAAGGAACTCCTGTCTGCAAACGTACTCATACAAGGGTGGGAGTAAGCATGGCATTGCACTAACCTAACACAGGTTTTAAACACATTAAACATTAACTCTCCAACTCTGCATAACAGTCATGAGTCCTTTGCAAATTAAAAAGGGCTGATTATGTTTTATCTTTGAGTGCTTCTAATGACTTTTTCCACTCTCTATTCATCTGTATACTTTCAGATAAGAGGAGAGAAGAGTTGGAATTGATGATTGTGGAGTGGAATTCAGGTAGGGGATTTGTGAAGAGAAGAACTAGGAAGAGGAGCAGGTGATCGAAGGAAGAATAGGAGAAGAGGAAGAGTATGGGTCACTCCTCTGTGTGGATCTTTCTACTGTCCCTTTCTCTCTCCCATCAAAGCGTCACAGCACAAGCTGAAGGTAACGGCTGACATTCCTACACTCAAAGGAGACACATTGTTTTACCCATGATTACCCATGTTGCACCATCAAGCTTTTTCTTTACTTATTTTACTCTCTCCCTTATTCAGTCATTCAGTTATTCAAAATTTCAGCAGTGCCTTATGTTGCCATCAGTTGCTTAATTCTGTGTCAAAGCCATATGTCGGATTTCTAGCAATGTGCACAGATCTGTGAATTAGAGCACTTGGATGCGTAGGCCAAAGAAAGGGCAGGTGCTCAATGAACACAGTCTGTGCGAGTGCTCCATCATTAAATCTCCACACATGGGTTGGTACAGACACTAACCCAGCTCCAGTTTCTCTTCAGACTGTGTCTAGTCAGGGAATTTAAACATCTGCTAGCCTCATGTAGAGTACAGCACTCTGTCTGCCAGCCTGTCAAACCCATCCCCTAGATACAGAACTTTAGCCGCAGGTGCTATTGGATGTCACCAAAAGGTCAATCAGCCAATCAAAAGTTGGATTTACCGTACCTGGAATGTGGTTGGCGGAAAGTGATTGGTAAAGTTGTTGGGCAGAATTACAGAAGGATATAAATAGCCCAAGGCCACATTTGCAGCTACTGCTCCTTTGTACCGTTGTTTATTTTTGACAGGGTTAATTCATATGCTGTCATAACTCATCGTATGACTGTTGTAGCAACCCTTAAGGCTTAGTATTTCATATTACACACAAGAAGTCACATGTGGTTGATTTCAAATCAATAAACCAACTGACACTTTAAAGCTCCATCAGTCAATATTTTTACATTAATAGTGAATCAAATGACTGTGTGCAGTGTTGGTTGTTATTATCCAGCTCTACAACTATATTATTTTTAGCTCTATTAAAGGTCACTGTTTTTGTTTTACGACCTACATTACAGATTCACACGTACAACACTGACGTATCACCTTATAAAGCTGTGGCGAACATGTGAGGCCAATATACACTCTCTATATCTATGTTTTGGTCTCCACCAGCTCCAATGGGAAATATCTGACTGATAAATGCACCACTATGTGCTGGTTGCAAAAGTTCTCAGTTACTTACTTTAATGAGAAAGTCAGATAGCTGAAAAAAAGATGCAAAAAATGCTCAGTAGAGCTAAGGTAGAGCTCAGAGTTGGCTGATAATTTGCTACAAGCATTAAGCAACCCCTTTCACATTACACTTTGTCACTTATCCTTTGTCTATACAAAAGTAATTAGCACAGCTTTAAGATGATAATATGTCATGGAAAGGGGTTTGGCAGCTTGTCATGGAGTTTGGTTTCTCCCAAGCGAACAAAAAAAAGAAAATTAATGCCACTTTAAACTGATATTTTTATGCTTAGGTTGCCTTATGAATGCCTAATGTTGTCTGCAGAATGGCTGATTGTGAAAGGGCACAAAGAGCTCCAACAGCAATTCATAATTATTACAGCAGTTTTTCCAGTGCTTCTATTGGAGCCAAATTGAGACAATACAAACATTTTTTATTTTACAATACATATTGTATTGCACCTCTACATTGTTAACAAAGGTTGCTTCTACCATAACTTGAATCACTCACTCCACTGATGAGTAAGTGATTAGCACTCAAAACAGGAAACAAAGAGGAAATTTGGAGCAGCTGGTTTACAAACTTGAGAGATTGGATAATTTTTGTTTTTCTGTTTTGTGGATCAGATTGTTAGCAGGAACATTTGTACATGCAGGTGTTTTGAGGGTTCCTTTCATTGTTGAGTTTGTATTGCATAAATACACCTCTAGATTTGATTTATATGAGTATGCATGCAGCACCTGTGTGTCCACAGCCACAAATCAATCATTAACTATATTTAGGACAACAATCAAAAATGAATAATCAATCAAAAGCAACACAATAGTTTATGTATTATAGGCAGTAATAATGCAAGAGACACAAATCTATGAGGGATTCAGTCAATCAAATAATCTTTTTAATTGACTCAGACTGTGGACTTTCTTGTTATTCAAATAAGATCAAAACAGCATATATTTATTAAAACATGCCATAAATCCTGACTGTAAAAATGAAGTTCATGTAACAAGGTGATAATGTTGCACTTGAAAAAACAACCATGTCAGAATCGGTCCCTCTGGTTGATCCAGGTGTCAACTTAGTGTCAGCCAGCTGATTAATAATACACTATATGGTTCTCTCCATGTTTTTATTTTCAACTACATAATGTACTGCATGAAATTCAAATTAGAAGCACAACATTATGAGTGGAGAAGTAGACTGCCTTGTTTGTTTACACCCACTGACTGTCCCAATGAGACGGGTACATGGCACTGGAAACAAATCCTGGGGGAATGATTGTGCATTTGTCACATCGACTGTGAGAACTGTTGTCAATATTTGGTCTTTCTATCATTAAATATTTCTGTCCTACACTGTAGCTTCCCTGCAAATGGCCTGCAGTTTCTTCTTCTTCTTCTTAGAGTAAGAGTTCTTTTACATTCATTTGTCTGGATAATATCTGAACCTGATGGCCTATGAGATTCTTAGACTTGTGCTCTCGGATGGTTTACATATTCTCTCTTGATCTCGTTGGAGCTGATTGCAGTAGTGCAGCGTTATTTCTTAGACTACTTCTTTACTGGCAGAATTTTCTGCAGCGTATGCTGTTGCCACTGAACTACATCTAATGTGTAAATCAATGGTGGTCTAACACAGAGGTGTACACAACCTTTGAGATATCAGCATAGATAACCTTCAAGAAAACTGTTCCTAATCCCTCAGCATGCCTTGTCTCCTTATCCTTGGCATGTGGTTTTCACCTGCTAGCCTAGACAGACAAACTTCTGGATAATTGATCTTGTTTCCCAACTCAGTCTGTGTCTGTCTGACAGAGACCAGCCTCCGGTTGCTTCCTTGCTCATAGCCTCCTCCATGTTTTATCTGCTTTTACAGAAATCTGTGGAGTAGAAAATGTATCCCAATAAATGGAAAAGCCACATGTGTATGTTAGGGTTGTTGGCTGCCTATTTGAGACTCAACCCAGGATGGAAAGGATGAACAATGTTGTACACTATTAATTTGCATCAGTGGTTTTAACTGTGTTTGTTTCATCGGTGATGAATCCACTATTGCTGACTATATGACACTAAAGCTTGCATGTAGGTAAAGATAGTAGCTTAGTCCTAGAGGGACCAAAAAAAATGGTATTCCCAATGATATTTTGTTTCCTTGGTGTGTGGTCAGAGATGTATAGATGTGTGAGGGGGGAACATAATGTTAGGTCGCCATGGGCTGGAGACATATGTCACCCCCAGTGAATCCTGGGATTGCAGCCAAAGGAAGAAGGGCGAGATAATAGAGGCGAGAAAGCTCTGTAATGAAATAGAGGATAGCAGAGAAGCTGAGTTATCACTTACAGAACAATCAGTGGTGCCTATCTCTTATTCACTAGCCTAATCAATGCTGTCGTCACTGTGGTTTATTGCATATGTAATGCAAGAATATTGACTTGGAGGGGTTTGCACACGAAGCAGATTTCTGTGTGGAGTGTGTGTGTTTGCTAGTACAATACTGTATATCTTAGTGGGCTTGTGTGCAGTCGTGTGCATCTGAGACAGAGTTGCAAGAGCTAATGTATGTGTGAGTATAAGTGTGTGCATGTAGTCAGTGCATCAGTGTGCATTTTTTGTGTGCCTGGCTTTTTAACTCCACATTAAAACACATCTGAATCCTGCCAAACGCAGCAGATCCGTATGTTAAATGCGATTGTTTGCTTGAGCGAGGGGACTGACCCTGATTTTGGGTGTGTTTACCTTATTATTCTAAGCGTTCCTCATCGCTGTACTAAAGTTTTATTGCTGGAGTGCTCAGAATATTGATAGTCTCTTTGGCTCACTTGTGTCTCATTAAAAATTCATGGGAATTTGTGTGGTGCTCTGGCAGCCTGACAGAAGTAAGTGAAAGGAAAAACTTCGACATGGTGGAACAAGACTGCTATCTGGTGGTCAGCGTAAGAATAAAAAATGAGGACTCACCCTTTAACCTTAAGAAAGAATTACTTTGGATTTTTTACAAACTCATTTGATTATAAAGACTTAGGACATGAGCATACACCTATCTCAGATTTTTTAAACATGCATTCCCTTGCTTCTCCTTGCTATATGTGCCAACACTAATTCATCAGTTCTTCATCCCTCAGCATGCAGGACGGTGGTGCAGGCAGACATAGTGTTTCTGGTGGATGAGTCATGGAGTGTGGGCCAGACCAGCTTTTCCAGTGTCAAGGACTTCATCTCAGCCATCATCTCCTCCTTCCAGGGCAATGTGGTGGGAACTGAGGGGGTCCGCTTTGGAGTCACTGTCTTTGGGGATGTCCCGAGGTAAAACTCAATCACAAATACGCCGTACAGATCTCTTTAATTAATTGCCATCAAGACAGATTTCAAATTTAGACTCCTGGGAACTCTAATCAGAGAAAACAGACAACATATACACACCAATTCTTAGTTATACCATTATTTCTTCACAATCCAGTTTCCCTGTAATCCTCTCCTTGCAGGATGCAGATTGCTTTGACGGACTACAGCTCACTGGAGGAGGTGCTCAGAGCCGTCAGAACCCTCCCCTATGAGGGTGGATCCAGGAGGATTGGTGATGCCCTCCAGTTTCTGGTTGACCCTGTGTTCAGCCCTGCCATCAGTCGAGACCATGCCCCAAAGGTACAATGCTTCAACTGGCGAGATATGAAAACCAATCCAGGATGCCTGTGCCTAGCACATCCACAGACTTGAAGCATAGAAAAATCTATCCTGTACCCTGAAAACGGCCGCATAAACTGACTACACTTACTGTAGGTAATATCAAGAAAGACTAAAGGTAAAAGTGGTCATGTCGCTTTAAAATAAAGGTCCTTAAATGTCTTCCACACACATTATAAACTGAGGTGCTTAGATCTTGTGAAATGTATGAGAAATTGTGGACACACACGCAGCAGGGAAACGATTAATTTAAGATAACAACCCACACTGCGTCTGCTTCCAGCTAGGCCACCAACATGCATATATTGTATGTTCTGGCCCTGTTTAAAAGGAAATGACTAGCCAGGAGTCTGTATTTGTACTCCAAAGAACATTGTGGGTAAAAACAAACAAAACAAAATGGTCTTCCATTTTCTCTCCACTGTGAATCTGATTGAATGGTCTTGCTTTGCGCTTGGAATACAAACTGGGAGTATGTCTAAAAGACAGTTAGAATTGGCAACAGATTTATTTTGCTTTGCTTTTGGTTTGCTTGAAGAAGAAGAAGGGAGAAGGAGGCAATACATTTTGCCTCCGCCTCAGATTCTACATGCAAAATTGGCTGAATAACAGCCGATAAAGGCCAACAGTGTCAGACACACTGCAAAAAGTCCAGTTGATGGTCACCCAAGGATGCTCAATAACAGAGGTTGACCTACTTTGTCAACGGGTCCTAAAAATTATGAATCAGATTGGCAGTTGTCTTAACTTCACACCCAAATACAATAATCAGCATCTTAACTAAACTTGTCCTATAAGTGCCTTGCCAAATATCCAAATGCCCTTCCAACAGCTCTCCATTTCTGGCAGCTACATTTCTCTGACAGTGTAACACTGTAGTGTAGTCTCAGTATAACACAGCTGGTTAGCATTCCAATCATCTCTCTATCTCTGAATGTGTGTGTGTGTGTGTGTGCGTGTGTGCGTGTGAATCATCTTGCAGCAGCACTTGACGTGGGAAGGAAGAGAATTGAGGATTAAGCTGATATATTGAATTGTACAGCCAAAGCACATGCAGAAAAGCAGCTACATTCTCCTATAGATGCTTTCCAGCCCCCTTCTTCATTGAGGGATGAACTTTGAATGAACTGAGTAAAATTTCCTTAATGGGCAAATTAGCAGTCTCAGTTGCAATCCAGCATCCTTGAATTCCATTTTGTTCATGTATTTAATTATGAGTTAAACTATGTCAAAATTCCATGGTGGCTTTTTGTGCATAATACTGTTTGCAAGGATGCTCCTTTAACCAAACAAAATGTTTTTTGGAGGGTGGATAAAACCTCCATTCATGCAAACCAGCACATTTTCTCAAAAGATTGCATTTTTAACATCATGTGCTTACAGGCTTTATGTGATGGCAGAGTTAAATCTGTGTGTGTGTGTGAGTAAGATATTATTATGTTTACTGACTTTGCATATGTCTTTTTTTTCTGTCTCACTGGTGTACAGATTGCTGTACTGATCACAAACGGACGTTCAGACGATGAGGTCGATGCCGCAGCCAGAGCAGTAGCTGACAATGGAATTTCTCTCTTCGCAGTAGGTGAGTGTGGAACTTGGTATTGTGAATTCCTTCAACATCCCCACTGCAGCGGCCCCGCAGATTTTATCCGAGCTCTGCCGGCTTATCTGCAGTGTTTGCAGTTAGAAATTCATGTCCTGTAGATTTTAATTCATTGGATTCAGAGTAGGAGAATCTTGTCTAGGTGCACTCATGCAGGTGTACATGTATGCACAAACACAACAACATCTGCACAGTATGTATGTGAGAATAAGTAAGTAAACAATTCAGCTCCTATATTGTAAAGTACACTTTCTGATACTGTGTTGCATCAGCAAATCTGCTTTATCTGACACCTTTCCCCGCTCACGAATGCCTGTGTGCTGTTATCCATAGGTTTACTTACACATATCTTAACCTCTTTCTCCTACACACATGCATAAGCACACAAGCCCACAACTTACTCCTTTCAGCTGGGAGCGGTGCAATAATTACTGCTCATTAGCTGATGGTGTGCTAATCGCAGCCATTTTTCATTAGGCGATTCACTGTCCCCCGTCTGCACCTCTGACACTGAGGCCTGCTCCCCTCGTTCATCACTCTTGTAGAAAAGCTCCACATGCATCTCGTGTACTAGTGCCATACCAATATGCCTGTAGAGCCTGTGTAGCACAGATAACACATAGGCACAGATATTGTATATACATCGAAATACATGTTCTGTACATACAAATAACTAGTATGAAAACATCTTTTATCCACGTGCTGATTTCCCAAAAGACTTGGCACACTGCTTCTGTTATTTCTTCTTTATTACATTAAAACAGTAAAACTTTTTGAGCATACATATTTCCATAACTTGAGATAGGTGCCAGAAATAATTTGAATATGCCTGTGTATGTCCACAGTATGCATGTGTATCGGTACGAACATCTTTTTGTGATTTAAAATAAATTACTTATGATGCCACAGCTCCCCCTAGTGGTGTATGTAGAAAGTATGTGGCGGAAACGCAAGAGAGGAATAACACCACATAAATATTGCTTGGTATTGACGTTTTTTGTGCATTAATCAAGTAAAATTCCACAGACATCAAAAGTCCTGTCAAATATGTACAGCAGGTTCTTTGTGTTTATTGTTGTGTGTAAATGTTTTATCTGCCCTGGCAATATTTACTTTCTCCCATTCTCTTTTTTTGTCTATCCTGTGACCAGGTGTTAGGGGAGCTGATGTGTCAGAGCTGAGGAGGATTGTGTCAGAACCACGAGATGAGCACCTATTGCTGGGCACTGACTACTCTCTTTTTGAAACCATCCTTCCAAAACTCTCCCGCAGACTGTGTTTTACAGCCTCTGAACCACCACGTCCTATAAAAACGTCCAGGCCTGGTGGGTCAATACACACGCAGTGCGAAAGCAAAGCTCTACATAACAAACCTAGATTTACTTAAAAAGCTGCCCTCACACTGACAGTTGTTTGCATTTTTATATTGATGAAGTGAATTTCAAGCTAGAGTTTGAAAAGTGTAATAAAAATGAATAATAGTTTTCCCTTATTTCACCTTGCCCTGCAGCTTTCTCACTGAGATGGATTTATCTCGCAGACAAATTATACAACCAGACCAACTTGCACGTTTTATGTTCCTCTCCTCCTTTTCTCTCATTTATTTTTTCATCTCATCCCTCTTTCTGTTTCCTAGTTGAGGAGCGTGTGGTGGGTCCCAGAGACCTGCAGGTTAGTGAGTTGGCCCACAGTTCCCTCAGACTGACATGGAGCCAGGCCACAAGCGATGTCACTGGATATCGTCTCCTGGTCACCCCTCTCAGCTCCAAGGGACACCTCCTCCCACTGCAGCAGAGACAGGTGAGGGATTACGTGCATGAGGATGGTTGTGTTACTGCTGAGCTGACATAGAACATAGACCTTATTATAGCATTAGAGGTCCTACTGTTTTACCTTTTGACATTAGCTTAGACAGCAAACCAGTTTGGGACATAGGAGTTGTTGCACATCACAGCCTGTTTTCTGCCCCTAAATTCTTGTTCACCTCAAAGCTCAAAGACTTTGATATGAACTAAAAACAATCCACCTCATTCTAAATTCTAAAATAAACCTAAATTGCTCTGTGTAACTCTACAAAGTTTGCAACAATACTGCATTAGTCCAAATGAACAGTGGAGTTGGTATTGATACCCATTTCTCCAAAACCTTGACAGAGATAAAGAATTATGTTAGGGTACAGACAGAGAAATGTTGTAATTTCTGCATTATTTTATAAGGCACAACACACCACTTAATGTGCGTATAATGGAGAAGAGGGTATTGGACAGAAATGTCAACAAAGCACAAGGATGCTGGTGGTTTACTGACGCACTTATATAGGAAGTGAAGATAAAAAATTTTATTCAAGTACACGTTTTAGAAGTCTATCTCCGTGTCTTTGCACTTTCTCTCTGTATTTTTCTATTCTGCTCTGATTTCAACATTTTCTTGAGCAATCATCTTTCTCTTCACTTCAGTCTCCACACACTAAGCGTGTTCTCGTTCTGCTGTCTTCTGTGTATGTGACAGATTGATCTGAAGGCAGATGTGAGCACAACAGTGGTGACAGAGCTGAGCCCAAAAACAGACTATTCCCTCACTGTCTATGCCATCTACCCCAGCCTCGTAGGAGACTCTGCAACAATCACTGTCCAGACAAGTGGGTGTCACACATCAGCACATGCACCTTGTAGAAAATGCACAAATAGTAATGTATGCATATAATTTTTGGAATTCACTGTACCACACTTCCCTGAGCAAAATGTTTCTGTCTTTTAGCCCCTTTGCCTCAGGTGTCAAACTTTCGTGTCATTGAGGAGGGTCTGTTCTCTCTGCGCCTTGGCTGGACGCCTCCTTTAGGGAAGCTCAACGGATTCAAGATCTTCATCCCAAGATGTATGCTAACATTACACCATGCAATTATTATTATTCAATGTAACTTAATGCATCAGTCTTCATAGTAACAAATTGTTTAGATGCGTATTTCATGGATATTGATACTTTTGAAATTTTTGTTCTGCAGCCAATCGACCAGGATTCACTTATGAGCACCTGCTTCCTGGAGACACCTCTTCTCATGTGATTGACAGCCTGGAGGAGGATAAAAAGTACATTATCAGTATTTATGCTGTTTACCCCCAGGGACCAAGTGAACCAGTTTCAATTGTGGGCAAGACGTGTAAGTTTATTGGCGTTAATCAAAACACCATAATTATATTAAATTATCTAAACTGAAAAGCTAAAGATGAAGCCACAAGTTTCTCACACTCAAGTTAATAACCATATATAACAGTTTTACACCGTTATTACACCAAACAACTACAGAGAAAAATAGCCTGGATAGCTGTTACCATTCAGCAAATGCTGGACAAAGTCATGAGAGTATGAAACAAGATATAACACAAGGAAGCAAATGCCAAGGTGTAGTACTATAATATATCCACTGTAGGGTGATGTTGTTCTAGAACAAAATACTAGCATTAGGTCTATTACATACAGTATGTATTATCTCAATTTCATTTCATTATTTTTTGTCATTACTATGATTCCCTATATTTAAATTAAATATTGATTTTCTGTGTGTGAATTTGTGAATATATGTGTGTGTTTGTGTGGATATGGGTGTGATTCACAGTAAAGCTTGTACAAGTCCAGCAGTTCCTGGTCCAAAACGCCACCACAGACACTGTCCAGGCGAGGTGGGCCTCAGTTAAGGGTGCCACAGGATACCGCCTGACATGGGAATCCCCAGGTACTGTTGTTCACTCCTGTTGTAAAGAGGAAAATGATCTTGTCTCTGAAATTAAGCCAGAAATCTTACTATGGTATTATAGTACCATCACCAAAAGTTGCTCAAAATTAGACTTAACCAGATCTTTGTTGTGGAATTAAACTATTCAGTGTCTCTGTGCCTCTGTGTCTTTCAGATGGCCACATAGAGAACATAAACCTTGGGGACAACTTTAACTTTTACATGATCCAGGGCCTCAACCAAGGTGCGGAGTATACCATCACCATCAACCCCATCTTTGGAGACACCGAGGGACCAATCACCACTGCCAAAATCAAAACATGTAACTAGGATGCTTGCTAGGAAGTATAGAAATAGTGGCATGAGTGGTTACAGGATTATATACATATGCATGACTATATTTGAAGATGCATAACAGGTCTCTCTTTCTCTCTCTGTGTGTCAGTGGAAAGCAGCGCAGTACAAACTTTGAAGGTGTCTGCTGTGAGCACCAGTGCTGCTGTCATCTCATGGAACAGTGTCCCAGGAGCCACGGGATACAGGCTGGCCTGGGGACCCACGCCAGGTGATTTATTCTCTTTCCTGTTTTCCATACAGTGATAAGATATGGTCCTTATAGTGATATCTCATGACGTTTCTCTTCTCTTGTATAAAATGTCTATACATTCTTAAGAAACGCCATACAGCCCAATGATGTACTTCCACAGCAAGTGTTGGGTAAAGGGCGTTTGCTTTAAATGCATGTATGCATGCATGCCCTGGTTTTCTTCTGATGTTGGCTTGCTCCCTTTCTCCCAGTGACAGACTCAGTCTGACAAGAGCTTTTGAAATGCTGCTGCTTTTACAATGGACACATCCACACTGCCACTCTGCCAGGAGGACGTGACAGGTGGCATGGAGCTTTACTTTGATGAAATACAAATGTTTGAGAAAAGGGAAGAGGATGTTATTTTCCAGAGAAGGTGGCTCTGATGCTGAACCAGAGTTGGGAGGAATACCAGGACAGAGAGGAATAATCCATTGAGAAGAAAGAATGATGTGACTGTACTGTCAATGTTGATATTATTTTCAGAGTTTGTTGGAAGGGATCGTCCCAGGCAGTTGGCTCTGAACGGCAGCACCACAGAGTACCAGCTGAAGAATGTAGCCCATGATACTGAGTATGTCCTGACTCTCTATGTGCTGTTTGGATCTGTGGTGGGGCCTGGTATCTCTGCTACCTTCAAAACTTGTGAGTACCGGTATTCAATATGTCTCCGACAACCTGATGTATTTATTTTCTTTCTGTGTAGAGTCATCTCATCCATCCCAAAAGTATCCTGCCAAGTAAAAATATAATGATACATTGGGAATTTGTAGTGTTTCACACCTTCTTTGTTTGATTGACAGGTCATATGCCCATATTAACCACCATGCCTGTCATTGTCACTTAGTTGTATGTGTCAGTGGGCCCGAGTCAGAAGGGCTTCACAACAAAGTCCAAAGGGTTTTTATTTTTACTTTTACTTTGGCAGTTTTCTTTACTTCTGTGAAAAACTCTTTAAAGGGTAACGCCAGGCTGAAAAACTGTGTTGCACTGCCATCTCTGGTTTGGTGTGTCCAGAAGTGTGCTCTGTTGTACCTGCAACCCCCCAACATCACTGCAGCAGGTTGAGTTAAACAACTGGAGGTCAGCAAATGCAAGATGTCCAGCTGCTTTTATGTTTCTTTTAATGCTGGAGTGAGGGGCTTATATATAAATAAATGTCAGTTACATTTAAGCCTTCGCCAAAAAAGTTTACACAATGCTGATTAAACCTTTCACCACCACGTAAATCTTAAATTTGGAGTCTGTGGCCACTTTCCCATGCGGGAGCAACAGTATTGATGTGTTTTAGCTTGCCAACCCCTGGCAACAAGCCAAAAACTCTATATTTCATAGTTTTCTGGAGCTGACAGCAGCGCCCTGGCCAGACCATGAGAAGTAACTCCAGAGTTGTCAGAGAATCACTAAGCTAAGCTAAGAGGCTTCACTTGGATTTATTTTTGTTGGCCAATAATTGAATGTCTCAAACTGAGTATTTTTGTTTGCCTCCTTGGATCCAAAAGAGGACTCCTTTCTTTTGCATATTAACAATGAAATCAGCAATGCGTTAACAAGGTTATTCATGTTCCATCTTCCTCTTCTCAGCTCCGTTGGGCTATGTGTCCAACTTTAAGGTGACATCCTACACCAGTACCTCCATAGACGTGGAGTGGAGTCCGATTGTTGGAGCTACTGAGTACAAACTCTCTTGGAACACAGGTGATATGTTTACCCATTTTTCTAGATATTGGGATTATTTATATGTTTTCACACATGAGTCAAACACATGTTCTGTTTATGTACTTGTCAGACAACCTATCCCTTTTAATTTCTTTTTACTGACTTTGTGTCTGAAAAAGTGAATAGGAATTGAGAAATTCCTCTACTCTTTGTATTATTGTGCAACGTGTACCTGCATGCCTGCAGATAATAGCAGCCCTCAGTCCCGTTACCTGGACCGCAGCATTCTCTTCCATCATATCGAAGACCTGAACCCACAGTCCACCTACAGAATCACCATCTGTGCAGTGTACGGCAACTCAGAGGGACCAGAAATCTCCTTATCTCAGCTCACAGGTACAGAATGGAAGTGAGGTCTCACAGCTTATTTTCATTGATCATGATTTGTCTTTAGTTCTAAATAGCCCTGTGCAGCTGTGCACCCCATTGTAATTAAATGGGTAGAGACAGCGAAGTTCTTCATCCCGTGCCATGGCACCCTCGTGGTGTCTCTGTTTGATTGACATGTCATGTACTTTGGTCTTCCCATTTTAACCGCAGTTCCTGTCGTTGTCACTTGTTGTATGTGTCACAGAGTCCAAGTCAGCAGAGCTGCTATCATTTTATCACTGTCACTGTCAAAGTTAGTGTGTTACACCCAAGCTCCAAGTGCCAAGTTTATTACACTGACTGAAATGATAGGGTATGTGAATAAAGCCACACTTGGCCATTCAGCTCAGAGATTTGGGATTTAATTGTGATTCTTTCGAGAACACTGTTGCACAGTATAAAATTAGGATTCAATTATATTACATGACGTGGTTATATGGGGTTATTTTACAGCTGCTGTGTCAGACTCAGGGCCAATCCAGGCTGTGAGGGAGGTGAAGGTTGTGGACATTGGAGTCAACTCCTTCTCCCTGTCCTGGAGGAAAACACCAGGGGCATCTGGGTACAAAATCTCGTGGATCCCCTTCCTGGGTAAGGGACCTCATGTATAGTCAACAATGTGTGCGTACACTCACATACATGCATGGTTGTATGTACTTATGTTTTCACAGATTAATATACACTTAAAGAACAGTTCATTGCAAAATGTGTTGGATACTTATAACTATTTAACTGTTTAAAAAAAACCCTACTTAAGTGTTGCTAAGCAGTGGGTTCATTTAGTTCCACTTCACAAATTTATCTCTGGCAATAACATAATATTTAATTTTATTGACTAAACATATTAAAAATGTCTTGGATTTTTGCCTAATTTTTAATTAACAATAACAACCATTTTTCATTATTAATCATAACTCTTAGCTCTTACGAATCACAGTTTGGACTGTTGATTATTGCAATAGAGATTTGAGACTGTAAATGCGAACACACCCTCAAATTCTACATACTGGGACTTTATTTTTTCCTGCTCTAGGGGGTGTTGAGAAGTCGCACGTGGTATCTGCTGCTTCCACCACCTTCACCATCCCCAACCTGCGGGAGAGCTCAGCTTATAAGATCCAGGTGACCTCCATGGTGGGCAGTAGGGAGGGAAGCCCGGTCCTGGTCACTGCACGCACCTGTGAGTCCTGCCTGCCCAAAACAGTTAGAAACAACAACAATAACAGTATGAGATGTGCTCTCAGTCAGAGGTTTTAGGGATATATTTATACAATTATATGAAACACAAAGTGATAGTATAAATAGTTTAAATAGTATTGTAAATCTTAGTGATAACTCTTCTTTTGAAATAATGAATGTTTCCCATATTTAATATCCTTTGAACTAGTATTTCCATCCAGAGTTTCTGTAACTCAGGGTAAGGCAAACAACAGAGAACTTCTCAGTTTTATTTTATAATTGAGAATGAACATTTTCCTCCAGTGATGTCTTCACTGATATCTTTTCTCTGTTAGACTTCATTATCTTCCCTATGCAGGGGCAATACTGACCTTTTTAAGCGGATCAGGTATCAGCCAGATACAACAGATCCACATTAAAAACGTTCTCAGTGTCATAATTAAATTCAGTGTTCCCTTTATTTATCTCTTGGGTCACAGTGAGCTGCAGACTCAGTTCATAGAATCACAGCAATCCCTGCCTTCTTCTTACCTTACTTAAAAATGATCACATTGAGTAAAAAGAGAGCACTAGTATCATATTAAAAATTGGTATCCTGGGCGCCTGGTTAGCTCAGTCGGTAGAGCTGGCAACCCATGTACGGAGTTGCTACAGCAACTTCTTCTTCGGCTGTCAATATCAAATAAAGGCAATAAAAAGCCAAAAAAATAACTTTAAAAAAATGTAACATCGAGTTGAGATACTGAAATCAATATCAGGGGAGAGGAAGTTAGAACAATGCATCCATAGTCTGTATAGTTTTCTCTATAAACATTAATTAATCCATTGACAGAAGTTCTGCATTATATTCAGCAAAGTAATATTTTTTTTCTTTCCTCCTGTTCTGTTTTTTCCTGTTTCAGTGGATCTTCCAAAAGTGAATGGCTTTGCTGCTCTTAACACTACAGACAGCAGCACTGTTCTGAACTGGACACGTGTGGCTGGCGTCTCTGGATATCTTCTTTCCTGGAGGCACATCTCAGGTCAGTGGTGAACCACAGCAAAGTTTCACCTGTTAACATTAATGTAATTGTCAGTCAAATGGTTGATCCAAAGAGAGCGTATAGAGCACCGTTTTGTTTAAAAGTGGCGTCGGTTTGAAAAATCAATATTTATTTGAATAACTTCCAAGTAAGTATGACTGTAATCTGTTTTTCAGGGTCCTCCAGGATTGGAAGTAGATATGTAGCATGACACAATATTGCATTGTGTATTGAGTCTCAGCATAAGCGCTCTTTTGTCGAAATGGGAAATATTAAGAAAAACATTCACAAAACTAATGTTTATGCTTTACAAGCTCATTGAACACAGTGTCGTTTTTCGTTAGATCATTTGTGTCACACATAATTATATGATGACACACTGAATAGGCAAGCATGTTTTCTTATTCCTATTATTCCAGGAAACTAAATCAAGTTCTTATTTTTGTGTTTTTTTCAGTGTTGGAGACAAAAACAGAGAAACTGGGTCCTGGTTTCAACTCCTATAAGATCAAAGATTTGCTGTATGGAAGAACCTATATTTTTACCATCAGACCTTTGTATGGAGAAGTGGAGGGTCCTTTAAGCACTGTGTATCAGAGAATATGTAAGACATTACTTAAATGGTTTGATTTTCAATTTAGCACGTTATAATGATGCACAGGATTTAAATACACTTAGTACTTGTATGTATCTATATTTCATATGCTCATAATGCATATATTCTAGTTTAATACATCAATTGTGTTAAATGCTTTTCTTTGCTCTATTGTTTCTGCAGGGTAAATGTCACTACACTGCTTTCTGTGGGTTTAAACTTAAAAGCATGTTGCACAATAATTTTAACCTCAGTGAGAAATGTCATACCCAGTGTTCTTCACCAGTGGTCAGGGTACAATACCTGCATTAACATGGGATCTGGCCGATCTTTGTAAGTTTATACTTATATAGCATATGTTTAAGTGGAGATTTACACACCACACAGTTTTTAACTAGTTATGAAAAAGTACTGTTGCCTCTATATGACCTACATAAACAAACTAGAATACTGGCTAGTTATTGAATTCAGTGAAACAATGCTGCATTTGTCCACAAGCTCGAATCCACACAAAATGAAAGTTCTTGTAGGGGCTTTGATTTTTAATGGTACAAACTAATTTAGATAAAATCGTGCAGCAAAGCAACCAGGTGCCAGATCATAAGCATGCATCCAAGAGGAGCAGTTGAGCGAGGGAGGAAGGGCAAACTTATCAATGTTGTGTTCACAAACCGCATCCGACAAATCCTACTCATTCTGCTTTTAAAATGGATTCACTAATAAATAAATAAATACATAATAAATAAAGTAAATTGAGCTTCAAAGTTTAAACCCGCAGAGATAAACACAGCCGCTGTTTGCTTACAATCCCTTTTTTCCTGTGCTGTATCCTAGCAAACACCATCGACTCTGTTTCCCTCCAGAGATGTTTAGAGTTTGATTTAGGTTTTTTAATCAGTTATGTTATGGCTTTGTGCATCTCAGTGGGACAGGATCCTCCAGTCCAGTCTCTGCCAGCCACAGTCACCCCCCATATCACATCTGCCTCCATCACCAATGCTATCGTCACTCACTCAGCCATCAGGACCACCCGGCACCCCATTGTTATGCAACCGACTAAACCCATAACCACCAAGAAACCTCTGGGTCAGCCAAGTGTCACTAAAGCCAAAGATGCAGGAATAACCACATTCAGTGCGGAGACAACAGCTGCACCAAGACCAGGTATTTTAGAGAGATGCTGCTTCATTCATATATGTGGATATTGTGAAGTTTTTTATCTATTATCTACAGTAAGAATATTCTATAGCTTAATTAAGAAGTAAAGTGTGTGTCTACAGTTTCTACATGATCAAACAGACTATTGCCTTATTATACACATTCAATAGTGAATATTTATTTAGGTTTTTGTGTTTTTTCAGTGTGTGGTAAGAGCAAAGCTGACATAGTCTTCTTAGTGGATGAGTCCTCCAGCATTGGCGCTAACAACTTTATCAAGATGAAAGACTTCATATTCAGGGTGGCTACTTACTTCCCTGTCATTGGTCCTCAAGCTACACAGGTTGGTCTCTCTGTAAAAACTTTCTTTGTTTTATCTTGTTCCAGCTTGATATTGTGGTGATAGTATGGCTCGAGGCGTATACTATCACTTTGGCCGAGAGTTTGTTTTGGTGTGGTAGGACATAAACTGGACTGGATTGCAGTGATTTTAAATGATAATAGCTGCCGCAAGGTAGCAAACTGCTCCAGAGAATCTCTCGTGCACGTCAATACCATTAGCAGGAACACAATGTGCAATTCTTTCACCAAGTGGCAGAATCTGAGTCCAACATTGGCAGAAAGGACAAACAAGACACAATGCCAAATTGCTTGTGATTGGCTAAGTGAAGAGTGGCAGCTAAGGAAGAGGCATGTGTAGTATGTGCGAGGAGGAGCTTGAAGTGGCATCACATTCAATTTAGCCAAGATAATGATGTTATGATAATGTGTATTTTCTCCATTAATCTTCTCTCAGATAGCTGTGGTTCATTACAGCGATGAGCCTCGAATTGAATTCCGTCTAAATGACTTCAAAGACAGAAACTCTGTGCTCAGGGCGCTCCGAGCTCTACGTTATACAGGGGGCAACACCAGAACAGGTGAGTGACTATCACACAAATGGGCTCACTTCTTTTCCTCTGTTTGCCACCTGTCATCCGATGGCAGTTTATTCCTATAACCTTATTTGGGTCCTGATGTCATAGCTTCTAACAGCTGTCGTGCTGGTGGACAAAAAAAATTACTATTTTTGCTAACTCATAGATGTATACTGGCTGCTGACGTAGTTAGTATTATGAAAGTCATCCACGAAAACTTTCACTGTGAAGGGTATACTGTGTCGTGAAGGAGAAAAAAAAGCACAAATACAAATACATTTCATCACATTTGTTTCAATAATAAATATAGATGAGGGCACCGATCTTTGCTTGAACTTAGAAGCAGAAGTTAGGAGCCCAAAGAGTTGACAAGACCTTAAAGTACGGGAAAATCTGTATAATGGGAAAATCTGCCCATATAATGACTAATTCATAAAAAAATATGAATTATTAATTGTTGTTTATAAAAGAATTGGACTGTACCTCATTAGTCCAGCTTTTAATTAAATTGGCCTAAATTATTTATTGTGTTATATTTGTTTTTTAACTATTTTATTGGTTTCATTATTTCTAAATTATTTGGTTGTTTATATTTATATATAAAAAGATAAGCTTGTTAATCATCTGTGTTATGGAAAGTGCAATAAAAATAAACTGTATTATTTGCATTGCTCTATATGCTGCACATCCCTAGTGACATTGCTGCAGTAACTCGAAACAGTGCTGTTCAGACAAGTACATTTATTTTACCAGCATTTATCAGAGTAAGACTCTCTCTCCAAAGTTTAATTATTTTCTCTTAATACTTTTGTGTACCCTCAGGAAAAGGCATTAGCTATGTTCTTCAGGAACTGTTCCAGGAGTCTCTGGGGATGAGGCAAGATGTGGCCCATGTTCTGGTTCTCATTACTGATGGCAGGGCCCAGGACAATGTGGTGCAACCCTCCAGAATTGCACGCGCTCTGGGTCAGTCAAAGTTATTGTAAAGCCTCCAAAAATGGTGTTGCTCATACAGTTTTCCTGTAGCAAACATTTGTGGACATAGCAGAGAAAAATCATATTATGAATATGTGATAAACAAGACTTATATTAAATAAATGATCATGTTTTTAATCTGTTTCTCTGTAGGTGTTAGTGTCCTGGCAGTTGGTGTTTATAATGCAGACATTGAGGAGCTGAATAGAATAGCAGCACCCACCAGCTACAAAAATATCTTCTACTCACCAACATTTGATGACTTCCCTTCCATAGAGAGAGAATTTATCAACAGCATATGCAGTGAGGAACTCCTCTCTGAGTTCAAACAGCATGATGAGGCAAGATAAAAACAAAGCAAAACTACTGTTTGTATAGTTCTTTCTTGTTAAGTACATTGACATATGTTATAGTTCAAGCAGACTTGTTGACAAGTTTTATATACATGCATGCGACTTAAGACTTGAGAAAAACATCTCCATCTCCAGACATGGTTAGGCATGTGTATCAACCCCATAACTGTAAATGTAACCACTTTTTTAATCAACTCACAAAGACTCTGTAGGAGGGAGCACTCTGCCATTTCTGCCACTTTATTCTACATTATGTCAGTTGTCCATGAAACTTTTGACTGCTCTATAATGAATACCCCTTTTCTCATTTCCATTTCCAGTCTGCTCAGTTGGACACCCCGACTAAAGACCCAGAGGAGCTGCTGAAACCTCAGGGTCCCTGCCCCCAGTGTGTGAAGGTGGGTACAAAATCTACCTTCTCCTGCCCCCACCACTTTTGTCATCATTATTGTCATCATCACTATCATTATCATATCAACCATGGTGCAAGAAAATGTGAGAGACTGTGCAAATCACCACAGGACAAGACAATTCACTATAAATACACAACATTATTATTGCTTTTTGTTCTTAAATGGAGATTCAACTTCAGCACAATGTGTCTTTTCTTACATTAACAATGATTAATCTTTATTATCATTATTATCACCAATTATTAATCATATTAATTGTTTGTTTATCCAGGGCCAGAAAGGGGAAAAGGTGAGTTAAATGAAATGTTATGAAGATTCAACTGATTTAGAAATGTATGCAAAAGCTGTTTTACACATTTTTAATATTCTCACTCTCATTCTTCTCAGGGAGATGGTTTTGGTTCTGGAGGTTTGGTAGGTTTGATCAAGTTTTCTTCTCTACGTTATTGTACCTATTACACTAAATGCATACTTTACATTACCCACCATCCTCTATCTGTCCTGCATTAATGTACTCTCATTGCTATTAGTTAACTTTAGTATGTTTATTATTCATTTAACTTTCAGAATAACCAGCCATCTGTTTTTGTGTATGTAGAGATTTAGGCAAAGCCCTGGACAGTTTGACCCTTTCACCTCTTCAAAAGGAGAAACAGGAGAAAGGGTAAGAATGAACATAAGCACAACACACACTACCACCATTGTCATCAATGCCATCAAATCATTTATTGCCAAGATTACCTTACTTAACTGCTTGTCTATATCTGTCATACATTTTGTTATATATGTATATATATATATTTGTTTATATTTAGTCTACCTCCAATTTAAAATATAGTAAAACTTTTTTTATATCACATAAGGCTACAGTATATTACACAAATAAGAAAAGTATTGTTTCATTTGATCATTCACTGGGCCATGGGTTTTATTGTACATTTGAATAAAATGTCACTACATTACATTACACAATACACTATATGTTTATACTGTATTAAGAGTAAGTAAGAAAAAAATAACAATAATCATCAGAATTGCCATATTAAAAACCTTGTTCAGTATGCAGTAATTGCCACATGACAGCTAACAGTTGCCCGTTTTCATTGTAACGGGGTTTTCAACAAAAACAACTTTGTTTGGGATTTAGTGCCTTAATCTGTAGATTTACCCATAAAGACTAACTTTGCATCAAATGGAAGCAACAAAGGATGGCATTATATATAAGGTGAAGGCTACAACATCTCCATCATGCTGAGACACAAGTCTCTACCTTGTGTTGAGTATTGACAGATTTACAGATGAACAGATGTTTGGAGATCTACATGACTCATCAGCTTGAAATACGTACAGAATAGTTCAAATAAGAGGTTGCTGTTATTTATTCCTTGAGTCAGTTACAGTAAATGTGAACTGCTCTGTCCAGTGTATCAAAGTAATATTGTAACTTTTTCATTTCTTCATAACCCTTCTGTGACTGTGTGTGGGTCAGTCTGGCTTTGCTGCGTATGTCTATTATTTCATTTTCCAACACAGACCATAATGTTTTAATATGACAGGGACCTCCGGGAACAGATGGTATACCTGGGTTGCCAGGGCGACCAGGGAGAACCGGACCCCCAGGTTCTGCTGGCCAACGGGTAACTCAATTCAGAAAATACGAAACCTTACACTGACTTGGTTAAAGTTTATTTCATTCAGGTCTGACTTTGATATTTGTTGGGTTTTTTCAGGGCCCTGCAGGCATTCCAGGTGATTTGGTAAGATGAAAATGACAAATACATTTATGAAAAAACTTTTTATGGAGCCTTATGTCGGGTCACTTAGCTAGAAATCAGATCATAAAAATGTTATGTCCTGTCTTTGCATGTGTGCACCTTTGCTGCATGTATCATTTGCTCTCTTTGTCTTTCTACTTTGGACTTAATAAAGTATCAAAACGTCAGCTTAATTCAAGGAAGAGAAAGGGCAGCTAAAGAGAGATTGCCATTTTATATTTGAAGTATTATTCATCTGCATTAAGCAACTTTTATTTAACATCAGACAGGATGTTTTATCAAACTTCTATTTTTTGGGCCATCAGGACGGCTCACTATTACACTTCTGTCAGAATAAAGACATATTTACTTATACTGTGTCAATATATTAATCTAATATTCATGTGTATTTCCATGACAGGGTTCACCTGGACTCACTGGACCAAAGGGACAGAGAGGAGAGAGAGTAAGTCTGACATGTGCATTTATTTTAGACTTTCTGCTATGATTTCAGTTAATGACACAGTTGTCTTCTGGATTTACCTACTTTTATGAAAAGGAATTAATTTCTGTGTTTCCACTTAGGGAGAGCCTGGATATGTTATAGCTGGCACAGACGCAAATTTTGTTCCTGGACGAAAAGGAGAGCCGGGATCTTCAGTTAGTCCTTAAAAAAACATCTTTTGCAGTTTTTTTTAACAGTAAACTTCTGGACAATTCAAATCTTATTCACTGCATGTTACAGGGTCCCCAGGGACCTCCTGGTGTACCAGGGGTCAATGGCGCTCCAGGCCTACCTGGCCAGCCAGGACCACCAGGCTCATCAGGAATATCTGTCAAGGTATCAGTGAACACTGTCACAACATAATGATGTCTTACTGTTTATGATATGTGATGTTTAATGTTTATAGTAATGCTGACATTTTTAACCCCATATTGCAATGATGATTGTTTCATAGTACAAGTGGCATACCATCATCATCATATTACAATATGAAATATCAGACCAAACAAATAAGTGTCACAAAATGCTTTAACATTGTGTCATAGCACTAAATACAGTCAACCAGAGTTTGTACTGTTTGCACTTTGTAGGGAGATCCTGGGGAGCCAGGAGCAAAAGTAAGTATGGAGGCTGCTTTGCATCCCTTTTTTTTAATCTTAATTTACAGCATAAATATCATGCATTAAAATTGTTGTCTACTTGCATATTAAACCTATTTTTGTCTGATTATACTTTCTTTTTGAAAGGGTTTACGTGGGAAGCAGGGTGTGAAAGGTGACAAAGGAGAGTCAGGAAGAGATGTAAGCACAAAGTTGATAAAATTATTAGAAATGGCCAAAGACATTGCACAAATGAAATGAAAGATTCAGAGTTGCCTTCTGTGTTTTTTTTGTCCTTTTCTTTCTTGCTGTCTCTCACATACAAACTCTCATATACACACACATACACACACATACACACACACACGCAAACTACTGTAGGGTATTGCGGGCTTGCCTGGTCCCATTGGCATTGATGGGGTGCCAGGTTTACCAGGTCAGAAAGGAGAGAAGGTAAACGTGTTATTAACCAAGAAATTACAACTTTTGCACTTAACCAGTCTACTAAAAATATATAAATATAAGCTTGACAAATATTGCTGTTTTTTGCAGGGTCAAGAAGGAATTGGCATACAAGGTATTCAAGGTCCTCGTGGAGAGCCAGGAGAGAAGGTACATCCACAGTGTCAAATTGTGGTTTCTATCAACTTAGATTGTAGTATAATGAGAACAGCAAGCTAAGTGTCTTATGGGGCAGATTATTAATTAAACAGGATTGCTCTGGATGCGGTAATGTGAAATCCAATTTTTGTTTCACTGTTTGAACTATTATTTTGCAGGGAAATATTGGCTTAACGGGACCAGTTGGCCCAAAGGTAACATGATTTTACTCCAAATGTGACATGTTTTTGTTGAAATAAACAAAAAAAGAACAGTTTGTAGAATGATATTTGCTACGTAATTTATCTTTTAAGGGTGATCATGGGGAGCAAGGCATCCAAGGAATCATCGGACCCCGGGTGCGTGCTTCATCATTATCTCCTGTTCAATAGCTAGCAATGACTTCCTGCATATTTTACCCTCAGATGCATATGAATTAATTTCAGCTTAGTCTAATGATATTAAACCAAACCTATTTAACCAAGGATGAATATTGTGTTAGAATCAGTGATGAAAGGATTCAAAGTGATTTATTTTTTACCTGTAGGGAAAGAAGGGATTGAAAGGGGAGCAAGGGGACAAGGTGAGTTCATTCCACACATGTCCACTCTCTTTTCATTAAGCTGGAAATATTCCCTTTATAATTATTATGATTATAAAAAGAAGTGAAGTGAAAGAATCAATTTAATTCAGCCATGAGCCTGGCTAATAGTAATAATAACATTGTTAAATTAACAAATGCATTTTTGTCTTTTTAGGGAGAACGAGGAGAGATGGGACCAATAGGACCACAGGGACCCACAGTGAGTGAGGATTACATCTTTTCTTATTTTTTTTTGCATTTTGCCTGCAGGCTGGAACATATGATCATTTCTCACAAAACCATTATAATAATTACTTCCACTTACTCACCTGAGCATATTAAAATACGCTTTCTAATTCATTTTTGATTACAAAGAAAGCCTGAGGCAAATGCATTATATTTATTTGGGACCAACTCTGAAAACTGTCTGGAAAAGCCAGCGATACACTATTTAACAAGTGTTTTCTAATGTCTCCAAACAGACATTTAGATTGATAAATGAGGAAGCCATTTTGTTCTGGGTGTTCAAGATTAGGTTCTATCAGCGATGGAAATGATTACATACGATCATGAGCCAAATTGTCAAACCTCACTGGGTATCTTTAGCAAATGGGCCATTCTGTCCTGCATCGCTGATTTTTAATTTGAGGCAGCATAGGCCTTTGGAAGAGACTGTTATAAAAAAATGCCGTCATGAGGACCATCTTCCTTCCTTTTGTAATACAGTTTCCAATTTTTGGTTCAAAAGTGTAGCTATGAATATCAGCTAATAAAGTGCTGGTTTGACAGAAGATATCAGAGAGTGATGATCATTGTTTATAGGGTATTTTACAATTTATTATAGTTGAAACTGAGAAATAGAACAATAGAAAATATTGTTTTGATTTGTTGGTTGGCACAAAATATAATTTGACCTTTATTTTTCAGGGACTGACCGGGCCATTGGGGTTAAAAGGAGACGAGGGTCCAAGAGGATCCCCTGGAGATCCTGCCAAGGGTGTAAGAAAGCTATTTAACTTATTTAAACTTTAGAAACAGAAGTACTTGATACTCAGCACTCACACAAATCTTATTTTACCCATCACAACAGATAATTGGCCCAACTGGAAAAAAGGGTGCACGGGTAAGTAACCAAAGTCAGCTTTTTTTGTTTTGTTTTGTTTTTCAGGAAAACGTTTTTTTCAGGGTTATTTTTTTTTTTTTTGGGGGGCAGAATGCAACACCATAGGAAAATGTAACTTCCTGCCCTGGTTAGGTTTTAGTCCAATTAGTCCAAAGACTTAAACTCTAAGTTGTTTTGCCTGTATTTACCTGAACTGGCTCAAAATGAGCCGGAGGGAAGTGATTCTCTTAATGTTTTACTCCGTCAAAACGTTGTTAATTAATTGTTTGGGGTATTCTTGCAGACTCAGACACAGTCCTCTGGGGCTGCTAATCAAACACAATTAAGATTTTCTCTCATTAAGTTTGCAGCAGGGACCGAATGCTCCATTGAATGGGACCTCTTTAATCTCAGTCCACAGGGTACCATTTAAAATGAAGAGTTTTGTTTTGAAACTGTTGAGATAATTTGGCCCGCTGACCAGAATCATGTTGATTGGTGTTCTGTGTGCATGTGTGCGTATATTTTCTGTTTGTCAGGGAGACATTGGTCCAGTCGGCCCTACAGGACCCCAGGGAATAAAGGGTGAACAAGGAGACAAAGGAGACAAGGTTAATAATGAGAAATACTGTACATCATGCTTGTATGTAGCCATTTCTGCCTTTTAATTGTTCTGATTCACTAATATAAGAATAGAGTGAATACCTGTTAGTTTAGAAGAAATGTATATAAAGATATTGGTATGGTTTGTTTTCATGTGTGCAGGGCAGTCCTGGTTTTGGGATTCCAGGACAGCGGGGACCAAAGGGAGAAAATGGCGAGAGAGTCAGTCACCTGAAACAATCACCTTGTTTTCATCATGTAATACTGAAGCCGAAAACAGCTGTTGATTGTTATTTTATTTATATTTTATCCTTTTTATAATTCAGGGAAATGTTGGTTTGTCTGGAAAACCAGGACCAAAGGTAAGTGAACTTACTTAAGTTGCTCTAATCAATGTTTTTATATTAATAATGGGTTAAATGACTATTTGGGATGTAAAAGTGGTCACTTAGGCATGGAACGATATGAAAATTTCATGTCATGATTACCTATAATAATAATAAATAATTGCAAAACACGATGTTATCATGTTAATCATGATAATATCCTTCATACTTTTAGAATGGCACCAACATACTGGAATCACTTTACCTTACATTTTGTTAAAAAAAAAACATATTTATTATACTACAGATGGGCATCTTATCTCCCTGTTCTGTATTTTGGAATCTAAACTATTTCCAGAAATTTTTTTTTGTGGGGGATACAACGATCGTGATACATGCTAATATCATATATCGGCCCATCCCTAGTAGTGACAAACTCACAGAGAATTAACACCTGACTTTGAAGTTACCCTTAACTCTACTCTCAAGGTTTTTTTTTAGCTTCTTTTAGCTCTTTTTTTTGGTTCTAGCAACTAGTTGGTAAACACAGTGCAGCATTTAGCAGCTGGGGTTGGTGGAGACCAAACCAAAGCTAAAACATTAATACCTATTGGACTGGTTAGGTGACCAGACACATGACTCCAAATGTATGATGTTGTTCAGTGTCGGCTTAATATATAAATACTGTAGGTAAAAAAACTATTGAATACCACTTTATTTATGTAAAAAGATTTTGTGTATTTTGGTTAAAGTCTAGTACAAGCTTTCATTGCAACTATTAAAAACGTACTAAAACAGAAGTTATGTGTTTGTCCAGGGGCAGGATGGCTCTAAAGGTGACAAAGGGAATCTTGGGTTACCCGGCAATCCTGGAGAACCAGGATTAAGAGGTAAAGATGTAAGTAAATCCTGAGTTGCTGTTACAGCAATGATACAAGTTGTTCATACAATACAGCACAATTCAGATGTATTTTACCTCATCAGGGTTTATTTAGAAAACATAACACATAAGGAGAAAGCCTATGGTATTAATTAAGACATACATTATAAGTAGAATGTGATAAATGTATGTGTGTAAAGATATGAAGATACATTTCAGTTAAAGCTCAGGAGAAGTTATGCTTGTTCCTTTTCATCGGATGTATATGTTTGCACATATATTTATGTTGTAATACTGGTGAAAATCACTGTTGACTTTGTGTGTAGGGATCACCTGGAACTAAAGGAGACCTAGGATTTAAGGTATAGTCAGCATATTTACTTGATTTACTTGTTTGTTTTGTTGGTCAGTGATGTTGCTCAGGAGGTTAGCTAGTTCAATTAACATTTATAATCCAAACACTTATACATATATTTATAATCAAGTTCAATTAAGTGTTAATGTTGTTTTGTCTTTCACAGGGTGAACAAGGACCACCTGGAGAGCCTGGTGACAGAGGAATTAGGGTATTTCTTTAATGTTTTACTGCTAATACCAAAGGCAGAAACATAATGAATATAAAGAAGTAAAAAATAATATACATATAAGCATATATAAGCTCTGTATGTTATTTATAAGAAGTTACACAAATTGTGTGGCTGAGTGCGATGATTTCAAGTCTGACTAAAGGACTAATTTCTTTTCTACCCACCATGAGTATGTCTATGACCTGTGTCATAGAAACAATCTGCAGTTTGATTATCTTTGTTTATATTAAGGTTGCAGCAATTATAAACACATTTTCTCAAGCAGCATTTTATTTTTCATGTTTAACTTGATATTTACTGTAGTGGCACTTTAAGGCTGTTGATCTACCCAACAATTCAAAGCTATATATTTTTTTAAATTCCTTTCTTAATATTAACCAGGGTCCACTGGGGCTACCAGGGCGACCAGGGGACCCAGGAGATAAAGGAAATACTGGGAAGCCTGGACTGCAAGTAAGTTCTTTGAATTCAATTTTTTTTAAATGACTGAACTTTGGAAGAAATAGACTATTTATTACTATTTATTTTACTTTGTTCTTTGCAGAAGTTATGTCTTTATTGAATTGAACTGAGTTATTGCTCAGTGTATTTTGGAGAGTGCTTCAAGATAACCTGTGATTTTCTGTTCTTTGAAGGGTACTGATGGAAAGAAAGGTGATAAAGGGGAGACGGTATGTTTGTATTCGCCACCATCTCTCTTTCTCATTGATGAGCATTTTTATTTTTTTCTCCTGGTTGACGCCTTCTGATCATTCTTCTGCGTCACTCACCATGTCACATCTTCACAACCTCCTATCGTCCTGTGATTTCATGATTTCAGTTTTGATATGTTCAGTAATTAAGTTTGGCTTTTTGTGTGTGCCACCCATCAGTGCACCTACTATATTTCCTTTGTGCTGTAAAAATGGATTGTGTTTAGCAGTGTGACATTTTAGATTTTAACTATGTTTTCTTATGCTCTTCTTTTGATCATGCTGCTGTTGTCACAAAGGGAAAACCTGGACCTCCGGGAGCACAAGTAAACAAACCTCTATTATCATTTTTGACAGCTTCTCATCAGTTCAGCCATGTTTGACAAGCGCATTCGTTGTAACAAAGCTCATGAAGAACAAAGGAAAAAACACCTCCCATAAGAAATTAATTTATGTTCTCAATCAGCTGGAATCGTCAATTAGCAAGTTAACTTCAGGTTTTTAATTTTGTCCCAACAGATTGTTGCAGACAACAATGTACTGACCAGAGTGATAAAGGTAACTTAAAGAATAACATGCAGCTTTATTTCATTCAGTTTTAAAGGAAATTTAAATTTCTCTTCTCTTCTTCCCTTTCCTTTTGTTCAGGGTGAACAAGGAGATCCCGGTCAGCCTGGTTTAAGAGGAGATACAGGTCTGCCTGGACCAAGAGTGAGTATCACTAACTTCACACGTCAGAGAAATATGCTACTCAAATGTGGCATTTTGCTGGTTTTGAAGTTATTTTTTGCCATTTCATTAGACTAAACACTTGATTTTACACACTTGGTTTATTCAAGATTTTTTTAAGAGACACTAATAATTCATTTTTCTTGAATATACATCATACTTGAATATTTGTCTCTCTCCACAGGGTCCAGAGGGGAAACCTGGATCACCGGGACCATCTCTGGTATTTGTATGAATCATTTTAAATTGCGTGTATTTTGGTGCTTTTTGTATCAGTTGGACTTGCATTTGTTTAAACATAAACCATTTGCTTTGCAGGGTGGTGGTTCTGGAAGAGATGGACTTGATGGTTTACCAGGGAAACCAGGGATGAAGGTTATATAAATTTGTGCACAGTTTTACTCATGTTATTAAAATCTGCTCATGTGAACTGATTTTTAATAATAATTGCAGGGCGACCAGGGACAGAAAGGAGAGCCTAGTTTGGTGAGTGCACCAATGTTTTTATTGTAACATTATACATACATGGTTAACTCCACATGAAGAAAACTAATTGTGATGTCACAAATTATACGTGTAGCCCCGCCCCTTTCAATCAAGTTTTCAATGAGCACAGAGAAACTTTAGATCATTAGATGCATGTGAAAACATCCTTCCAGTGTCAAGCTCTGCACATACATCATTCTACACAGTGAAGTTCAAAACTCTGAAACATCCAACTGTAGGAACAAGAAGGAAAACATATTTTAGAGTGAAGGGGGACTTTAAACTAATATGTTATAAGTCATTTCATAAAGGGATTAGCTCATCATCCCTCGGGGGCTGTTAAAAATCCATTACATGAATGGAAACTGTGGAGAAATAATTTGATTCACTTCACTGCAGAATTCACTTACACACATATTGTAGGAACTCATCTGATCTCATTAAGCACTTGTCAGAGTTTGTGACTCAGTTGCTGTGACGCAACCTATAACTGAAGCTGAATCAAAAGACTGATTATGAAGTTGGCAGAACATACAAGCATCTTCTTACATAGTCATATGAATTACAGTATATTGTCTCACTTACTGACAGATTTATTTATTAGAAAGACAAGGAAAGGTGCTGTCACTTTCTTCTAATCTTTATGCATTTAACTCAGATCTTTTATTGCACTTTTGTTTTTATGCACCAATGCACTTTAGATGTTTCAGGTTTTTGTTGTGATTCTTTTACATTTTGTCTGATGTTTTGACAGATGCTATATAACTCTATTTATACCAACTATATGTTTTTTTTTTTACAGTTGACATGACTTATAAACTTAAGAAACTCACAGTGAACAAACTGTGTGCTTAAGCTATGATGATATGATTGGACAAACGCAAATGTAAAGTAATTCAGTTCTGTTGAGATTTTCATAGAGTTTAGTTTACCCCCCTTACATTTTAATTTATAGATCATGGTATTATATATGTAAATTAAGAAACTGGTGCTTCCTTATAGGTATAAGACTAATTGGGGAGCTGGGTTGATGCCCATTAAGTATGGCAATAAATACAAAGAATATTTGGTTTTGGGACTGAATCCCAAATGGATTACATATATGTCACCTTATTTTATTACCTCTACATCAGAGGTGTAGTTGGCACCATGAATTTTGCAAGAGTTTCTCTCAGTTTTGGCATTCCTATAGATGTGACTAACATAAAGTAGATGAAACAAGCAGCAGAGCGGAGACTTGAAGCTTCACTAATCAGATCAGATAAAATGACTGTGACGTCTTCCAGCCTGTTATTTTGGTTTTTATGGCTTGCAACTTTGCTATCTTTGTTCACTCTTGCTGCTAGGACACCACATGCCACAGAACACCATTTTTCCAAAACATATTGCCTCATTTGGTGTTTTGATGATGCTGGTGGAGAACACGTCAATCCAAAATCTCCCATAGGTGTTTAATTCGATTAAATTCTGGAGACTGCGAAGGCCATAGCATATGATTCACATGGTTGCATTGCCATCCTGGAAGAGACTACTCCCATCAGGACAGAAATGTTTCATCAGATGTGATAAAAGTGATCACTCACAACGTTGTATTGATTTTTAGTAAGCCTTTCCACTAAGGGGACAAGTGGACCCAAACCATGCCAGCAAAATACCCCCCAACAGCGTAACAGCTCCCGGATCCTCTTGTGTATGCCACATGTACTCACCCGCTTGTCAAGTATATGGTGAAGGATGACTCATCTGACCATATCACTTTTATCCACGTCTCTGTAGATGAGAGCCTATATGATGTTTGCACCACTGAACTTTCAAACGTGCGTTCATCTTTTTGATGAGAGGTTTATGCACTGCAGCCCTACTATAATATCCTCTGACAAAATCAGAATCCACTAGGCTTGCTCAGCATTTTATACATGCCACAGAGCATGATTGGATGTTAATTGCTTAATTGTACCATGCAGTGCATCTGTGTGGAAGCAAATGCATTTGTTACATTTTTCCACTAATTTATTGAGGTTTTTCCTTTAATTTGGCAGCCGTCTGTATATATGGCAACATTGGTCGAGGAAAAGTACTGAAAAAATTACTGTCTGTTGCGGAGAATAGGAGGATATGGTCCATTGCCCATAATTTGATTATTTGATAATAAATTAGATTTTAAAGTCCTTTAACATAGCATAAGGACACTACATACAGAAAGCACTGTCAAGGTTTCACTAAGTAATCTGGATTCTGGGTTACTTTTTTGCCACTTATTTGTTAGTGTTTTGTAACATTGTTTGTACCTCATTGTTTTTGTATGTGTGCATGAGAGCAGAAGGGAGATAAAGGAGACCAAGGCCGGGCTGGGATTGCTGGAATGCCTGGTCTACCAGGAACTCCAGTGAGTGTCTCTACGAATTACATTGCATGTGGCTCAAACATTATATTACCTATCCATCCTTCATACATTTCTAATAGTGACAGTAAATACATTCAAGCCTACATAACAAAATATATCGTAGTGTGAGGTGTGTAATTAGCATGAGCCTTTTGTTTCTGAAAAATATCTCCAGTGATTGTGGTTATTTAATTTCCTCTGCTCTACAGGGGAGACCTGGCATTGATGGGAAGAGGGGCCTGCCAGCAAAAGATGTGAGGAACATTTTCATCTAACAAGTACAGCACTATGCTGTGTGATACAAAGTGGATTACTTTTACGCTTGTGTTTTATGTGCTATTTTGACAATTTGCTAACAAAATTGCTCAGATTTTCAAAATTTGTTAAGGCTGAAAATGCATTTTGTTTTCCCAGGGAGAAAGAGGACTAAAGGGAGAAGATGGCAAAAAGGTGCTTAACATTTATTGCAACCAACTAAAACATATATGAAGCTATTTTTTGAATGCACGTATTAACTTTCCTCTCATTCCAGGGGGACAAGGGCGATGCTGGTGCAGATGTAAGCAGTTTCGAGAGAAACAGAAAATAAGTCATAAGTTATCTTTGGGAGTTTGCAACTTTATTTCATTTTTTCCCCCTTCACAGGGTAAAGATGGCAGTAAGGGGGAACCAGGACCTCCAGGATTGCCTGGTAGGCAGGTGCTTGTCACTCCTGAGGTAAAAATAATCACCTGCATGGTCAGTGATTTATTAACCAGGGAAGCAGATTTCTTATTTGAAATCTCTTTCAAAAAGCATAACAGTAGATTAAGCAGTGTATTCAGGGTTGTACCTATAATCATTATCATCTTGGCTCATTTCTGTTTCCCGGTGATTCAGACAAAACATTAAGCAGGTCCACCTAGACCTGCCTGGCAGCTTAGACTTACTTACTGATTTTTATGTGGCTCCATTGTCAGGGCGCCACCATTGACGAAATACGAGAGGCATTTCCAATCCCAATGGGTCCTCCAGGAGCTACTGTGAGTCTGACGCTTACACACAACATGTTTCTAGACATTTATTATATTATTTATTATATTTTAAGCTGTGGCATGGCGAAATTTATATTCTGTCCGCATGGCACCAATGACTCTAAGTGCTTTTATTGTGGCTTGGCAAGCTTGATGTCATGCATTGTAGATGCATGTTCAAATGTGTTGCTCCTTTGTTTCTGTGTGTTTAGGGTTCACCAGGAATGAAGGTAAGATGGTAATGGGGTTTATACTAAAGTCAGTTATGAAAAAACTCAAATATTGGCTCTGTAGCTCATTTGCTGTTGTTCTTTTGCAGGGTGATAAAGGAGAAATAGGCCTGAAAGGAGACAAGGTAGTGCTTCAGTCTTATCCCTCAAAAACTATATACTATAAACTATATATGCTATGTATATATGGAAATAACATTATTTTCACTGCACTTAATGTTTCCATAGGGCGATGCTGGAGCTCCCGGAAAATCTCTTGAGATGAAGGTGAATACAGGATTTAGTAAATCCTCCTCTGGGGTTACATGTTTTCATTTTGCGATTTGAGCAATATGTTTTTCCTCTTCTTTAGGACGTTGAAATGATGTTTGAAGCCTATGGCATTAGGGTGAGCTCTGAGTATGACATATACATTTTGAGATTCATATGATTTTCAATAGCATTCCAGTTTGACCTTCTCAATAAAACCTTCTTCTCAGCTGCCTCTGCTGAAGGTGTTGATTGACAGGCTGCTGCAGGAGGGAATAGAGGAGCTGCTTCAAGTGCTCGGCACCTCCAAGAAAACAAAAGAAAACACAGGAACTCACACCTCCAATGTCATCACTGAATACACAGTACGTAGACTCTAGGGAAAAAGTGTGTGAGTCTGAAATGGTAATTTCACACATGAATACATTCCATTTTTCAAAACAAATTTACCTTGACAAAACATCAATGTTGACAGGACAACAGCTGTTAGCTGTGCTAGTTACAGATCAGTTTAAGTGTTTTTTTCCTTAATCTACTAAATAACTTTTAATAATGAGCTACATGGTTTCTTTTTCAAACAACCATTTCAGTTATGACTCATTTGTTATCATCAGCTCACCCTGTATCCTTTATGTCATTAAAGAAAAGATCACGAAATAAAAACAAAGTGTGGTGAAAAACATAATAATACTTGTTTTCTTTTGTTTGTGTTGTCTCAACAGAGTTCAGTGAAGTTTGACATCACCAGTCAGCCGCTGTCAGAGTTGGACACCATTGAGGACCCTAATTTAAATAGACAGCTTCCAGAGTCTTTGTCAGTTGTAAGTAACATCAAAATCTCCATATGAAGTCTTTAAATCTTATTTTCCTAAAAAAAAAAAGGGGGAATAAATCTGTCTGTAGAACTATTATTAAACCAAGACATTTGCATTGACTCAAAAGGACATTTTTGAGTTTATTTTTCATAGTAGTTCAGTAATCTGCTGAATCTTGATTTAAGATACTGCCCATGACAGAAAATTCCTGAACCCTAAGAGTATACACCAATAACAAATAGTTCTCCTTGTATCACCCCCCTTCTCAGACTTTTTTTTTTATAAATAAAAGGTTGTTAGAAAAATCTTCAGGGCTCAGTATGGGTATAAAATACTCAGAAATGATTAATTCTTTTTCTGGAGACAAGGTGCTGTTGGCCCATTCTTTTTTAATTATATGAGACTCCAGCAACTCCTGAACAATTTAATTGTGAGACTGGTGCATTTTGGCTTGTAGCCCTCATCAGGGTCATCGTACAACACATTACAAGCAACATTTAAATAAGAAGAGTATTAATTAAATTAATGGATGACATGGTGTCATCCATATGAAACTATATGACCATATACCAAACCCAAGTAAATACCCTTTTATTTAAAAGTTCTTTATGATGCCCCAAATGTCAATTGCAACAAGCCGAAACATAATAAAAAGGCTGTTCTTTATGTTAAGTGTTGTTTTAACCTCTTCAGATTATTTCCCATCACAATGCAGCATGGACATGAAGTCTATACGCCATAATATCATCTGCTGTTATTACACCCACTGTGAACTGTATATTGTCACTAATAGTGGCTACTGGTCCAAAACTGCATATTCTCTCACTTCCATTATTTCTGTCTTTTGATGTAAAGGACCCTTTAAATGAAATGGGAGAGGGTCCTACTTTATGGACTGTCACCGCACTGAACGGACGGCAGGAGCTTGACAGGATTGAGACCAAGTTAAAGGGATCCAGAGGGAAGGAGGTAATAGATGGGAACAGTGATGGAGGATCTTCACTCAAAATGAATCTGACTGTAGTCAATTCTACTTTCAATTATACTACGACCCAGGAGGTAAGGATATTTTACAATAGAGTATGCCAACTTTACGTGAATCATTTTGCTAAACGGTTGAAAATATGCTATGTTCATTTAACATGTGAATCATTTCTTGCTCATACAGAAATGGTTTTAGATCTTTTTTCAGTTCAGAAACATTTTAAATTAAAGTTAGAGTTTGACATATTCACAACTGGCAGCTTTTAAATGTGAACACAGTGGGATCTTACATTACTGATTTGACATTTTATTCTTTTTAAATACAGAAAATAAATAATTGATCATTATTATTAATGAATACAAATTCTGTTAGCCACGTTTTCAGTGAAAAATGTAAGGTATTGAAAACCTTACAAAACACTCAGATGTCAGAAACAGTTTGTCTTTATAGCATTTATGTTCTGATTACAAAACGATAAAATGTTAAAATGTGTGTGTCAGACGGTTTCAGGGTTACCAGACACTGTGGTGGAGACTGTTTTCCTTACTCAGGAAGCCTCTCTGAATAAGAGCTCAGGACAAAAGAAGAAGAACAGGGAACGTGGGAAGGTAAAGCTACCATGGACTCATTATAGATGCCTCGGTTTGCCCCTGACTGGAGAAGCAGGAGTATTGTTTCATCTATGATATTCAACATAAAATACTTGGATATTTTATTTAACAAGTATAATTATCTTTCTTTGTTGTTTTTGATCACTTAAATGTGTATTATTAAAAGAGCATACTAGTATTGCATGTTTTAGCTCACACTTCCTACCTTCCAAGTATTTACTGATTTCAGTCAATGCCACTACAGTATGAAAATTGAATTACAGAGACTTTATGTTTGTTTGTTTGTTTGTTCGTGCTGTAATGCATATGGCTGCAGAGCCTTTTTTGAAAACTGCTGCAGGACACATAGACATCTGTTGAAGCACTCATGAGCTATGTTCATGCTAACAAAATGTTCACTGCGATAGGTTACCAGCCTCAAAAAAGTATTTTTTTAAATTCAAGTATTTAAAGCATTGTAATTAATCACAGTGCACCAGTTCAGCATAAAACATCAGAAAACAGATAGAAAATGCAAAGACTCAGAATCAGTGGCTGCCTGGAAGGAAGGACATCGAAATATAGGCATTACTTCATTACAGGTAATTACTATGTGCTTTACATTAAAGTACATACAGCAACAGGTGACATGATAGTATATTAGAATCTAATTAATTTTTAGAATGACTTAAAATATTCACATTTGTAAGTGGGCTGAAACATGCAAAACCACCGGTGTGGTCCCATACAAATACTGTAGATCTAAACCATTTGGTAACTTTAACACTAAGGGCTCCTAAACATCTTTTATGTAAAGTCGTTGCATTAATTTTTGATATATTAACTATTCCCCTCTTAAATATCTCCCACAACTGAAAGTATCAGCTCGTAGTTTCATACTTGATCATCAACGTCTGAAGCATGAGAAACCTTTATCTTTTTTCTCTCCGACTGTGAACTTCTTAACCAGGGCAAAGGAAATAAAGGACGACATAAGAGGCAGAGACAACGCCTGGTAAATGTCCTTAAAGGGGTCAAACTAAACTTGAAAACTTCACTTCTGCCCCAACTAAACAAAAAGAAACCAACTAACACAGCTATCTGCAAAATTTAAACACAGACTCTGACACTGGCTATTGCTAACATTACAATAACATAACAGTTTTGTGTGGAAATAACAACTTTAGTGCTAAAATGTCATAAAAATAATCATAATAAACTAACATTTTAAACAGAATTAATCAATTATTATATAAATGGTGTGGCTAGTAAAACTAAAAGCATGCATTTGTCTCAACGTCCATGTGCTTCTCATTATATTGATAACACGTTTGAACATTTTTGATTAATGGGTTGCTTTGTACTCGCTTGGCACTGTTGTCTTCCAGCCACTGACACAAATGATAAATTATGATGTGTAACAGTATCTCCCTGTAATTATTGTCATTTCTCCTTTATCTGAAGACAAGTGAAGAGGACAAGCAAGACGAAGAGGAGGAAGAGGAGTTTTATAACGGGGAAGAATACAGTTATGAATACGAGGTGGGCAGCTACTGCAATGAATGACTAATTCACGAACTGTGGGGAACTTCAATTTAAAGTGATGATTGATGACGTGGGTGCCTCCTTATTAACAGACCTGTCAAACTCATAATCAAATCTAGCTATTTTTTTTTGTTTTTTTTAATAGCAGCGTCTCATCCATGCCCACACTAAACGCTGGAGAGAGTTGATTAATGACACACCCACTACCTGAATTAATTATTGAAAATAAATTACTTTGTCATCACAGCCCACAGCGTCTGCTCTGCACATCATCTGCTGGAGTGTCTGTAGGTGTTTGAAAGTTACGATGAAATTATTATTTATTTTTTTCTTAACAGGAAGAACTTTACCCAGATGAGCCCTCGATCTCTCAGGAGAGGAGAGACAACAGACAGGTAAATTTTCTTCAAACAGCATGCTCTCATCTGTGTCAGCCAGATTGGGTAATGTAAAATATTTTCCATGTTCTTAATCATATGCAGTTTGAAGTCCAAACCGATGAATTCCCCCATCCAGTGGATAAAAAGGTAAGCATTAATAATTCTGTAGCCTGGATAATAACAAAAACTCATTCACTGTGGCAATGATACAGCTGAGCTCAGTTATTCGCTGCTCTGGTGAACCTGAGGAATAATAACATATTTATGCTGTTTTTATCTTTGTAGGAAGACCAATTACCCACACAAGATCCTGCCCAGTTAGAAACATTGGCAGAAACTTCCAGTCGTCGAGAAACCGATACTACACTTAATGTATGATGTTTTACAAAATGAATCAAAGTATTTGATTTGTCAGTAGTTATTTTAGTGATCAGCAGTTTATATCAATCTGAAGAGAAGTCCAAGAAACAGAAAAAATTGTTAAAAAAAATACTCATGCCAATACACTCACTGACAGTACATCGCAGCACTGATTCCCAGCCTGGGGTTCCCAACCACCATTAGTGGTTCCCAAAGCTTTAAGGGGGGTTTTAGGGAGTATAAGAAGAGCTATGCATTTTAATTTCTGTGATGAAAACAAAATGAAATTGTTATTTTTAAGATTTGAAGCCATTTGCTTTCTGATATAATCAATAATGGGACCCCAGAACTTAACAAATTTACAGTACGAGTCTGACGGCTCATGAGCCCCTTCTTAAAACATAGAGCTAAGGTTGATTTCCTTTCAAATAACCATTTTGAACTGTATTCATACAAAAAATAAAAAGCCTGTTGGGTCTCATAATTATGTCATATTAGCCTTAACTTTCAAATTGATGACTTAAAAATTCAAACACCAAAATATAAACAAAAGCATTTTAAACGCAGTCAGCCTGCAGTTATTTATGCATAGTCAGATGGGTTGAAATATTCAGTATATACTGTATATGTATTATTCAATGACTCAGTATCCCCCGTTTTTGATTTCTCTCCCTCTAGGTTGTCTTGACAACCACAGAGCCACTATCCCAACCCATGGGTGACATAGAAAAGGTATGGAGGGCCTGTTGGTTCTTGTGTCGCATATAGATTTTTACTAAACATTCACTTTTGAAGTGGCGTTTTCCCTGTCACATTCTTATCTGTCTTTCATTGTTATGACCAGGATGAAGTTTCACTGCCTACACCTCCCATCACAACAGAAGAACCAGACAAGGTAGAGTTCTGAACTTAAGTTGATTGTTTGTTTCTGAATATCCTTGCATGCCTTGGAATGAAAATCTCTTTTATTTACACCTAACACAGGAAAGCGATTGACAAGTGCTTGAATAAAATGGGCTTCACTTTCTCCCTGTAATAATATGTAGTATTCCATAAATATACCATGTTTTTTAAGCACTTGGCATCATATTTCAAGACCTTTTCTTCTTTCTACCTTCTAATGAGAATTTCACCAGTGCAAAAGGATGATTATATAAGGTTAATGCGAATTCTGTGGGAATGGAAATATACCATCACAGATTTTGTTACTCACAAAGATTACCAAAGCATGAGACAGGGCAGCATTTTTGAGCAGCATGCTTTCAGCGTGATTTCTCTTAAAGCTTGTCTGAATGGGAATGAGCAGAAATAGTCGCCTCGTCCGACTGTTAAGATTTGCTGGCAAAGAAAAAAGTCCAGAGAGTTACTTTTAATACTTTCTCTCTCTCGTTTTTTTTAAACAGGACGTCTCTTAATTCCCAAGAGACTGTGACTATAGAATGTTAAGCCGTCATAATAAAGCACACACCGCAAGGAGAGTGTGAATAAAGTGTGAACTGTTTTGCTGGTGAGGAGCCCTGAACCTGACCAGCGTTTCATGAGGAAGGACTTCTTTCCACACAGAGACGATGTCACTCACCCAAAGCTATGGCCATACAAAGTTCACATCTTGTATGAGGGCTTTAAAGAGTATGTTCTATAGAAAATCAGGCACCTTTTTTTGAAATGTCACAATTGTTTCATCATTTCTTTACTTTCTTCCATGTAAACGCCAGTATAGCCTTTACTTTACTTGCCTTGTCTGCAACGCCTAATTTATTTATTAAGACAAATATTGTAACAAATATATATCACGTTAGATAAATCGCAAAGCTTTTGTGCCAACAATTTAAATACATATTTCCTTTTGTCAAGTTGTACTGAAATTTAATTTATTGAAACATGGAAAATATCTTGTGTTTTAACTCCACCAAACGTCGTTAAATACCAGTTTTATTCGAAACGTTGTGGTACTATAAGCAATTTTCAAACATTCTTTTCACTGGTGAAATTTTTCTCAGTTATTTTGTCTGTTTAATCTCTCTGTGCATGTATCCTTCAGTAAAAATGTTCAAATAACTCTCAAAGCAAGTCTGTGTCTTTTTTTCTTACATTTTTACCATCATATACATCAAAGCACACACAGCTGTTTGAGAGGAAGCATCAGAATTGTTGCTCATGAGAGGTTTTGGGCGGGGGCGGGGCTTGACAGGTACCTCGATCCCAAATCAGGGTGAAGAAAAGTGCTCCCTGGCCTGATTCCATGGTAAGTGTCACCTGGTTTTGTAGAAGACAGATTGATACTAATAAAAATGGCAGTGGTGATGATTTTTATATTTTAGGTATTTATGCCAGGTGCCCCGGGTGGAAGAAATCATTTCAAAGAGGCACAGAAAGTAATTATTTTCCACTATTTCCAGTCTTTAAAAATTAAAATGTCATACATGTGACTCGAGTTTGCATCAAATAAAATATGAAAACGCAATTTCATGGTCACTGTCTGTGGAGCATATATGAATTTGCCCCTTCATTTTGATTTCAGCATTCGTTATCTGGAGCTCAAGGTTACAACAGCTGGAATGTAAGTCTGTTATCAACGATGAAGATAAAAGTATTAATCAAAATTAAGATGGTGCGACTGATAAATACATGGTTTTGTGTTATAAACTTGCTTCTCTAGAGGAAGAGGCAAGAAAACCCTGACTTTCAAACACATACCAGGAGGCAGACGCAAGAAAGGAGGGAGAGAGAAAAACAGATGTATGCAAAAACACAAGGTGGAGGAGAAGAGCAGACTAAAGCCGAAGAAGTGGAGGAGTGGGAAATGGAACAACAGAAAGGAGTAGAGACAGAAACAACAGCCCCTGATCCAACCTATGGAGAGGAGGAGAGGAGTGGAGACTACCACTGGGAGACAGAGGAGGACGTCGATCGGGAGAGGGAAGGAGAGGAGGAGGACCTGGAGAGGGAGAGAGAGAGGGAGAGGATGGAGATGGAGAGAGAGAGAGAGGAGCTGGAGAAAGAGAGGGAGGCCGAGCTGGAGCTGGAAAGAGAAAAAATGGAGAGGGAGAAGGGGCTGGAGAGGGAGAAGGAGCTGGAGAGGGAGAGGACTGAGCAGGAGGGGGGAAGAGACATAGAGAGGGAGAGGGAGGAGTGGGAGAGGAGGAGGGCGGAGATGGAGAGGGTGAGAGAAGGGGGTTATGATGAGGAAACTGGACAGCCTTATCCATACCCTCCAGAGTATTTTCATCTGAAGGTAAGGGCACAAAGTATTCACCTTATGATCTTAGTATCATTATAAAATAATCAACTTTTGCATGTTATCAGTTCAATAAATATCAAATAAATATTTGAATTCAGTTTAATTATGCAATGCTGTTAATGTGCTATACATTTCTTATGCATTAGGGACAACCAGGTGAAAGTGGAAACCCAGGACGAAAGGTGACTAAAGATGTTTTGAACATTTTAAATATCCTGAGAATGTTAGTCGCCACACGAAATGTGGCGCCAGTTCATAAAAATATCATCGCTGCTCTCCCCACCTACCCACAATGCATCAGTGAATGACATCAGAGCTCAGGGAGAACTTCTCTCCCGTCTTGCCTGTCAGTAAAGCCAGTTGACTCCAGGCCTTTGATGTCCCTTCTGCTCTATTTCTGTTTGACTGTGAGACAGTAGATTAAAGCAGACATTAATAATTCCCCTTGTTAAACATGCTGACAAGTTTTTTTTTTTTTTTCAAATTCCTCTGTGTTGGTTTATTTTGGCTCTTGAAAAAGAATGTGCTGACTGAGGTGCACTTCAACTTTCTAACTGATGTGCGCTCTTTTCATCCACACTTTTTCAGGGGGAAATTGGTGAAAAGGGACAAAAGGTAAACACAATGTTTATTCATAAGCTGTTATTTACGTTGTTCGTTTGGGAGTTGAGATTTTCATTGAGTAGAATGTGTGTGTTTTTAGGGGGAGCCGGGCATCGGCCATAGAGGTCCAGAAGGACAGGCTGGTCCTCCAGGACAGAAGGTGAAATTTCCCTCCTTCCTCACTCTTAAAGAGTAAAAGAAAGAAAAAAATACAAGCAATCTCTTATTTATAACCTCCCTTCTCAATCAATTAATCCCCACAGTCTTTTCCATCACGTTCACTTTGATTGACTTTGTACCCCATCTCGGTTTTAATTTAGGGAGTTTAATTGGCTCAGTGACTCACTCACTCATTTAAAATTGTGTTTGAGCATACAAATTGATAAAGGAAAGAAGGACTTTATTTGAAAGCAATTATTCAAAAGTAATAAAATAGCTGAATAATTACATTACATAAAAGAAGTGACCTTTAACTGTGTGTTTGTCTTCCAAACATTTCATTTGTCACTTTCTCTTCTTCCTTCCTTCTGTTGCCTCAGGGTGAACCAGGTGAGCCAGGGCCTCCAGGTGCTCAGGGCATCCAGGGTATCCTTGGTAACGCAGGCATCCAGGGTTCCCCCGGCCTTAGGGGTCTGCCAGGGGACCCAGGAGAGCCAGGAAGAGAGGTAACTCAAAATATATCAGACAGTGAAAGTATGTAAATATACGCTTTATAATTGTGCCATTGGGTTTGAAAGAGAAGATGTTTTGTGTGTTGGTGCAGGGGGACCGGGGTAAAAGGGGGAAGAACGGATCACCTGGATCTCCTGGACCTCGAGGAGCAGCAGGACCTCACGTAAGAACATACAAAATATCTAAATGATCCTTGCGAGCACTGCAGCTGATTTCAGCAATATTTTCATATTTAAAAAAATATCTAGTCAATGATATTTTCTTCTGCTACCACTGCATCTCTCTAATACAGGGTCCTCCTGGTCTATCTGGAGTAAAAGGAGAAAAGGTACTAACACTGTATATTTTAGATATTTGAGTAGCACTTTTTGTTTGGTCCCTGAATTCAACATTATAAGAACTTTTGTTTGTAGCAGCAGCATACTGCTACATTAATAGTCATTTTACAATTGGGTTTTTGTTGCTTTTGTACTGTGTAAAAAAGGTTGATCATTACTTTATCTTACTATCATCAGGGTGATAGTATTCCTGGAGAGCCTGGTACTCGAGGGTTGGCTGGCTTCCCAGGGAGAAGGGTGAGTTGTCTTCATCTTACACATAAACAACATTTTAAACAGGTTTAGTCTATGTTTAGGTTAGGTTAGAAAATTCCTCATCTCAGTTTATGTAATGTAAAATGTCACTCACTCACTGTGTTGACCAGTTTATTTGACAGTTAAGGATTATCTAATCCTACCTGGTCTACCCATTTAGATTTCTGACATACAATATTTAGTACATTCCTGTAATCTATTTATTTTATTTTCAGGGTGAAAAAGGCACTCCAGGTATTAAAGGAACTCCTGGGCATCTAGTAAGTCACTTTTCAAAACCATACAACCGAGTTACCATTAGAGTTTCACTTCACAAAACAACGTTTCTTTTCCCTTTTTTACTAGGGTCCTAAAGGCTTGCGTGGCAGCAAAGGGGAAAAGGTGAGCTCACAACAATGTTTGACAGTACAGCTGCACTTTTTCACTTAACTCACCAACTGAATTAATCCTATACTAATACTGGAACACTGTGATGTTTGACCCCAATTTGGAGTCCGTAATTCCAACAAACAAAACTTTGCAAGTTATTAAAAGTATTTGATGCTGCAAACCACCTGTTCCACCTCATCCAAAGGTTAATTTCAAATATGAGAACTGAAATTTCTGCCATATCGTCCTGCTGAAATTTCCATTTAGGGAAGGAGAGACTGTAGCTATGAAAGGATACACCTTATCATCAGAAATGTTTTATTAAATCACAAAGGGATTCAATGTTGAATCAAAAATGTTTCCTAAAGTATTACATCACTAATGCAAGCCCGCACTGAGGCCAGCAGGGAGGATAGATGACAGATTTTTAGACCCTAGTGTAAGCATGCTGTAATTGAACCAGGCAACATACATACTTTTAAACATCATGCTGTTTTCTGACCTCTTTCATCGCCAAAGCGTGTACTAGTAACAGTGCAGTCAAATCTGTTCACAGTGGTGCACAGAAATCATGACTCGCTTTTTGCGTCAACAATGAGGTACGCGGTGTGACTGTGAGCCGTGCTAAGGGTGGATAAATTAAAACACAAGTGCCGACAACGCCACCTAGGTTTAACTGAGGCCTAGGACCTCTTAGGATCACCAAATTAAAGTTAGGGTAAACAGGTTCTTTTATGTCGGGGAGAGCAGTAAACAGTGTTATTTTAAAACAATGAGTACAGCCAGTGGAACACAGTTGAACACAATTTATTTTAAAATAAGTAAAAACAACTAAAAGCTCTACCTTCAAATAAACTAAACAAAGAACACAAACAACTAAAACCCAGCTAAAATAATGTGGCACGGATGGAGTGGGAAGTCAACAACGGCAGTCGCGGGTCTCTGGTGGCGACCACCTGCCTTCACCTGGCTCCGCCTTGGCAGCCTGTCGAGGGAAACTCAGGGCCAGTCAATGTCCTTTAACAAGGCACAACTTTATATATTACACACTACACAAACACCGGTCTGAAACGGGACTTACGCGGAGGGAGAAGTTTTACCTTCTCCCAATATAGCCGCTAACGGTCGGTGTTTGCTCCGGTGTCTCTTCAGACCTCGTCCAGTGCGATGATCTGCTCTGTCTCTCTGTCTGCTTCCTGCTGTCCGGCCCGTTGGACCTCCGTGTCCTCCCTCGTGCCCTCTGTGTCCTCCCTCGTCCCCCGGGTATCTTCCAGTGTCCTTTTATCCAAGAACAGTCACTCCCCTCTCTGGGTGCCAGGTGTAAGTCCTTATGCTTGATTAAGGTATGTCTCCGGTGGGGAAGTAAAACCAACGTAACACAAACACACTTCAAAATAAAAGCATGCAATAATAAATAAGACAAAAACACAGCAAATTCAAAGTAAAAGCATGCTTAAATAAAATCAAACTTCCCCCGTGACATCTCCCCACACTTTAAAGTTAGCAGTCCCTGCAACATGTTATGAGTCTCTATAACGGACTGGAGTTTGTCCAAAGTTTACCCTGGTGGAGCATCGTAGGGCACCCTCAGGTTCCACATTCACAGGCGGTATGGCTACCGGTGCTGGAAGGAACCCGTAGATCATGGGCTGGATGGGTCCCTGCATCTGGACAACCGGCTCAGTGGTTGGTAGCGGGACTTCGGTTGGGGGTACTGTACACACCTTAAGTGAGTTCCTATGGATATTTTGTATTCTGCCACCCTTCTCTGGCTGAATCTTGTACACAACCCCTGTATCCCCCACCTGCTCCAACACCACCCATGGCTCTGGGTCCCACCAAGTACACAACTTCCTGCCCCTCGCTGTTCCTATCTCGCACCCACACCCTTCCCCGGTAAAAGTGGTAACGCTTGGCCCTCTTGTCATAGTGCTGCTTGTTCTGGGTGGCTGCACTCTCCATTCTTTGTTTAGCCAGGCTATAAGCTAAGGACAGTTTCTGCTGGTGGTCTTGTACCCACCCACCTACATCGTGCCTCATCTGTTGGGGACCTACACCTAATCCTACATCAACAGGAAGTCGCAGGTGTCGCCCAAACATGAGGAAGGAAGGGGTATACCCAGTCGCACTGTGTGTGGTGTTATTATAGGCGTGTGTCAGTTCGGGCAGATAGTCGGGCCAGTGAAATTGCTTAGACGTCTCTAAAGAGCGGAGCATATTTAACAAGGTCTGATTAAAACGCTCTGCACTGCCATTTCCTGCGGGATGGTAGGGAGTTGTGCGGCTTTTAGTTATACCATAGGTATCACAAAATTGTTTCATAAGTGCAGATTCGAAATTAGGTCCCTGGTCAGAATGGAAACGGGCGGGGCAACCAAATGGTTGGATCACATGGGTCCACAGGGCCTTTACTGTAGTCTGAGCTGTTTGATCTCGAGTGGGAATAGCCCAAGAAAAACGGGTAAACAGATCAGTAGCAACAAGAATGTTCTGGTAGGTGTCTGTGGGCCGACCTAAGGACAAAAAGTCCAACCCCACCACTTCTAAGGGGTAGGATACTGTGAATGGATTTAGGGGGCCTTAGGCTCCACCCTATCTCGCTGCAGGTTACAGGCAACACAACCCTGCTGCAACTGACGACCCCCCCCCTCCATATCAGGCCAATAGAACCGCTGACGGATCCGGTTTAGGGTTCTCTCCACACCAGCATGGGCAGCGGCTTCATGGATCCTCTTCCAAACTTCTTGGCTCCTAGATTCTGGACACACAATCTGGAAACACACTTCGTGTGTGTGCGGGTCAATCATTTTACGACACAGTATTTTGCTTTTAACCTGAAGTTTTCGCTTTGTTGCAACAGTCTCTGGGCTCCTAAGGGACAATGTCAGGCGCTCTGGTCTCGTCGGTATCATTTGGGTTTCCACATACCTCTTAATGATTTGAAGGTCCGCATCACCAGCTTGTGCCTCCTCCCACTCTCTGCCTGTCCACTCCTCTTCACCTCCCTCAGGGGTCAGTTCAATGGCTGCCGTGACTGGAACGGTTTCCAGCTCAAGGTTTTCACATGAGGCATCTGCAGTCAGTGGGTTAATTGGGAACCGAGACAGGGCATCTGCATTTACATTACTTTTACCTGAGCGGTACTTGATGTCATAATCGAAGGAGGCAAGCTGTGCGACCCAGCGCTGTTCCACGGCACCCAGGCGAGCTGTCTGTAAGTGGGCCACAGGGTTATTGTCAGTGTACACCGTGAATCGGGCTCCAGTCAGATAGTCTTTAAATTTCTCGGTTACTGCCCACTTAAGAGCCAGGAGCTCTAGTTTGAAAGAGCTATAATTTGCATCATTCCGCTCTGTTGGGTGTAGGCTGCGACTGGCATAGGCTATCACTGTTCTCGCCCTTGTTGGACCTGGGCCAAGACTGCTCCCAAACCATGATTACTGGCATCTGTGTAAACGAGGAATGGCAGGGAGTAATCAGCATATGCCAAAACAGGTGTTTGTGTTAAAGCTGCTTTCAGGTGATCAAAGGATGTCTGGCACTCTGAGGACCACTGTACCTTTCGGATTTGCGACTTTTTATCAGCAGGGATGCCTGTCAGCAGTTGGTTGAGGGGGCGTGCAATCTTGCAAAGCCAGAAACGAAGCGCCTGTAATAGCCAGCTAAGCCAAGGAAGGCTCGTACCTGTCTTACAGTGGTGGGGATGGGCCAGTCTTTTACGGCTGAGATTTTGTCTGGATCAGGACTCACCCCTTTTGGTCCACCACATGGCCCAGGAATTTCACTTCCTTCTGCAGGAGTTTGCACTTATCCAGGCGCAGTTTCAAGCCATGCCGCCACAGTTTGTTAAACACCCGTCTAGCTGCTGTAGATGGGAGGAAAAGTCAGGTGAATAAATGATAATGTCATCCAAATAAACCAGTAAGGATTCTGACAATTGGCCATTTAAACATTGTTGCATCAGACGTTGGAAGGTAGCTGGCGCATTGCACAGGCCGAAGGGCATACGCTCAAATTCATACAGCCCCAGCGGTGTGGTGAAGGCGGTCTTCTCCTGGTCTTGGGTGTCCATCTCAACTTGCCAATAGCCACTGGCTAAGTCAAGAGTAGAAAACCATTCTGCTCTGGTCAGACTGGTCAAGGTTTCTTCAATCCTGGGCAGGGGAAATGCATCTTTATGAGTTATTGCATTTAACTTCCTGTAATCCACACAGAATCTCCAACTGCCATCTTTTTCTCACCAGTACTATGGGTGCCGCCCATGGGCTACAGCTCTCTTTAATGACACCTTGCTCCAGCATACCTGAGAGTAGGGATTTCATCTCTTTATACATGGCAGGGGAAGAGGTCGATGTCGTTCGGATAGGTGGTGCATCACCAGTATGGATGCGATGTTGTACCAGGTCTGTACGTCCGAAGTCCTCATTGTGCTGTGCAAACACCTTCTGCCATTTCAGCAGCAGGGCGCGCAGCTCCTCCTGTTGCTGCTCAGACAGATCAGGCCTGTTGGAGAGTTCACTCACCCCTATCGGCAGCTTCGGTCCTCCTCGTCAACTGCAGCATTTACCAGTGTCACTCCAACAACACAATCACCTTCAAGGGACAGGTTAAGGTCGCAGGCTCCATGTACATCCGCTCATCCACCCGGGACAGTTTGCCAAGCTTCTGGTACCGATCTAGCATCAAACAGTAGGGGTGTGGTTAAAAACTCTCACAGGGACTCGCCATTTCTTATCACTGCTAGGGTCCTGGCCACCCTCACACCGCAAGTCTCAGGCAGCGCTCAATTAGGGCACAGTAATCTTTTCCCCCAGGCTCATCCGAGCCCGACCCCACACCAGTACTTCACTCTTGGGGAATTTGATGACCCGTCGGCTGGCTGGCCGCACGACCCCAACATCCCGTCCTCTGTTATGGTAGCCTCAATGTGTCTGCATGTAGCAAATGCATCCCTCCAAACCCGCTGTCTCTGTAACGTCTGTGGGGGGAACAGACCCTCTGGGACATTTAAAAAAACAGTCCAACAAGCAGTAACAACATTCATTCCAATGATGAGTGGGTGTTACAGTGTTCATCCTTCACAATCACAATTCCTCTTCCAGGTATCTTAGCACCCTCAGCTCCAGATCTAATACGGCATAGCTCGTATGGACTCCAGGCCATTTGCGGCCTGTAACTTAAAAACTATAGGAGCCTTCCAAGCTTAGCTTGGGTAAAATGTTGCTCAAAGAGGCTTTGCTGCATTAAGGGACCTGGGACCCCGTGTCTAATAGCCCCGACAGTGTAACTCCTTCAATGTTTACGTCTATAGTTGGACACCTTCCAATAAATGCTTCAGTGGGCCCGTTTTCTTCTGTTGTACTTTCAACCCCTGCCCCTCGGACCTCAGCAGCAGGGAAAGCTAGTTTAAAGCCTGCCGAGCAGTAGTTGGCCTCCTACAAAATCTAGCTATGTGGCCGGCTTGTCTGCATTGGCGGCAAATGGGCCTACCTTGCTCATCCCAGGTGTTCGTCTGGGAAACGATCGTTGTCGCTCCCTATAGGGCTGTATTAGGGGCTGTGGTGCAATAACACTGGTTGAAGGAGCGGTTTAATCTCTCGCAACAGTTCCTGGGTCAGTCCGGTCATCTGAGATTTCACGTCTTCCATGATCTCTCTTTTCAGGGTCTCTCTCCAGCTGGTGTCCTGTGATGGAGGAGGCACATTTGGTTTATACACAGAAGCACAGATTACCTCCGGTTGGGGGTTCCCATGTTCTGTATCAAGCAGCAGCGCCTCCTGTCTGATTGCAGAAAAAGTTTCATCAGGGTTACGGCGGGCATAGACCTCAGGGCCTGAGCCAGGGAACTTCACGCAGCCCCAACAGCAGCTGGTCTCGCAGGACGTGTCAGGGGAGTTCCATCAGGGTCATGTTGCCGCAACCTGCAATACAGCTCTCTAGTCTTAGAATGAATGAGGGCACAGTCTCGTCGGTCTTTGGACACAACTAAAAACTGAGACCTTAACACTGGGGCGGGGGTTCTGTCTCCATATAGAGAGTCCAAATACAGAAAGATTTTGCGTGCTCTATCCCTTTCGTCATCCTCTAAAACACTGACCTGCCGTTTGGCTTCCCCAGCTAACGCACCCAACACAATGTCAATTTTCTGGCCTCTGCTAGCTCTTGCGCTCCAAGTAAGCCCTGTATTTGCTCCTTCCAGTCATGATATTTCAGGTCACAATTTGGTCCTTTAAACTTTGGCAGCCAAGGGGCACCAGGATATACAGGCATCATCATATTCACTGTTTTAAAATACACCACACTGCTCTCTGTACCCGATCCTGCCGACAACGCCAAAATGTGAGCCGTGCTAAGGGTGGATAAATTAAAACACAAGTGCCGACAACGCCACCTAGGTTTAACTGAGGCCTAGGACCTCTTAGGATCACCAAATTAAAGTTAGGGTAAACAGGTTCTTTATGTCGGGGAGAGCAGTAAACAGTGTTATTTTTAAAACAATGAGTACAGCCAGTGGAACACAGTTGAACACAATTTATTTTAAAATAAGTAAAAACAACTAAAAGCTCTACCTTCAAATAAACAAACAAAGAACACAAACAACTAAAACCCAGCTAAAAAATGTGGCACGGATGGAGTGGGAAGTCAACAACGGCAGTCGCGGGTCTCTGGTGGCGACCACCCGCTCTTCACCTGGCTCCGCTCTTCGGCAGCCTGTCGAGGAAACTCAGGGCCAGTCAATGTCCTTTAACAAGGCACAACTTTATATATTACACACTACACAAACACCGGTCTGAAACGGGACTTACGCGGGAGGGAGAAGTTTTACCTCCCCAATTATAGCCGCTAACGGTCGGTGTTTGCTCCGGTGTCTCTTCAGACCTCGTCCAGTGCGATGATCTGCTCTGTCTCTCTGTCTGCTTCCTGCTGTCCGGCCCGTTGTGACCTCCGTGTCCTCCCTCCCCCCTTTTTTTCCCCCCCTCCTCCCCGGGTATCTTCCAGTGTCCTTTTATCCAAGAACAGTCACTCCCCTCTCTGGGTGCCAGGTGTAAGTCCTTATGCTTGATTAAGGTATGTCTCCGGTGGGGAAGTAAAACCAACGTAACACAAACACACTTCAAAATAAAAGCATGCAATAATAAATAAGACAAAAACACAGCAAATTCAAAGTAAAAGCATGCTTAAATAAAATCAAACTTCCCCCGTGACATGACTCCTCATACATACTCCTTTTTTTTACTAAGAAAGCAATGTCCCATTCATTCAAGTGTCAGCAGGTCCAGGTTGTGTTGAAGTGAAGTCACTTTTCAGTCAGACTGTCGTCATATTTGTTTGTTTCTGCTCTACTAAAGTGTCGCAACTGAATGACTCATCCCTCTCAAACTCCACAGAACCTTTTCCATGTTGTAACTGTTCATTATCAAAGGTGGATTTTATTATATTGTGAGGGGATTTAATAAAATGTTGTGAGGGCTCAGCAATTTTCCTGTTGCAACATCAAAGCAGCAAAATATATAAGGTAATATATCTACTTTTGTTGACACCTGGAATTGAAATAATCATGTGTGGAAAGTCGTTTTAAAAAAGCATCTTTCTTTGCAGGGGGACCGTGGACTAGCAGGAGTCAGAGGAGAAAGGGTATGATGATTTTCATGTTTCTTTGTAGGTAAATCAGAAAGTATTTAGCCTTTGAACTGATTCATTACAGTTGACTTGGTGCAGAGGATCACATGCAGTTTGTTTGCTGACAAACACGTGAAAAGTATATATGATTCATGGCTGAGTATATTCGTAATCCCTTCCTACAGGGGAGTGTGCTTCAAATCCAAGGACCCCGTGGATTTAAGGGTTCCAAAGGAGACGCGGTGAGATCCTCTTGAAGCTGTAGTCATTTATCCTATCTTTCAATACATTTACTTTTGTGTAACATGAGTAAAGGAAGTCTTTGACAATATTTGCCACCTGGTTTCAGTTCAATACAACTTTGTTTATTCCTACATACTCATATCTCACCATCAAGGTCGACAAATACATAGACAATAGATAAGAGAAGAAAAAATGAGAAAGCTAAAACAATCAGAGGCTATAAGCTTTAAAACTATATGTGGACTGACATACATGTTTTAATAAATATTATGAAAATCCAAACACGTGAATAGACCTAAGTAGAACTTAGTAGATGTTTTGTTTCAGGGTGAGCGAGGTCCACCAGGTTTTGATGGCGATAAAGGAGAAAAGGGTGAGGACGGTCCTCCTGGAGTCAAGGTAATAAATCCTGATACTTTCCATGACACATTTAGAGCAGTTCACAACTGATCATAGGTTTCTGATAGACATTATTCAGATTATTTCCTATATTAATAAATAATAATAAATAATAAATGAGGCTGCAAGAAATCTTAATTATAACATAATTTTTAAATTGTTTTAAAAGGGCTTAAAGGGCGACGCAGGCATTAAGGGTGCATTGGGGCGGTTTGGAGCACGAGGACCAGTAGGCCAGAAGGTAAGTAAGGGTTCATGTTAACATCTTCACACTGCTTAGTTTTCAATTCTTTTATGGTGGTACTGTGTATGAAAGCGTGTTCTGTTCCTACAGGGAGATCCAGGAGAACGAGGACTCAATGGAGTGATGGTACAGTACAGCTACAGTGCAAACATTATTAAACAAACATTCAGTAATGGTAACTTATTAACTTCAGGTGATCACACACCATAATGCCCATAATGTGGTTTAAGGGTCGCAATGGGGATCATGGAGTGGATGGGGCCAAGGGGGACAAAGGAGATATAGGAATGCATGGCCAGAAGGGCAATCAGGTACACTGAAAATAATCACATAATCAATCAAGAACCGTTTTGTTTTGTTTTTGTCGTTTATTTGTTTTGTGTGTTTTATTGTTTTTCACAGGGTGATCAAGGAGAACCAGGCTTACCAGGAGACACAGGAGAGAAAGGAGAGAAGGTGCAGGCAGTTATTACTTGACACAGTTGTCCCTGTGTCCCCCAGCTTGGTCCCTTATGGTTGTTTTGTTGAGTTTCAGGTTTTCTATTTGTAGGATGTCACTATTGTAATTTCTGCTTCCTGTTACCTGCCATTACAGGGTTTCAGAGGTTTACCCGGACGCATTGGGAGTCCAGGACTGGATGGAGAAAAGGTTAGGTCCCAGTTAGTTGGACTTATTCGGCAATGTCATCTGACTATAGCAGTACTCTAGCTAACATGGTCTCTTTGCAAAACAGGGAGATATGGGGTTCGCCGGCACCCCTGGCATCCCTGGGTTGAATGGACTCACAGGGCGAAAGGTAAACATTGAAGGTTGCACATATTTCTCTTTCTTTGTTCCACAAACTTATACCAACCTACTATTTTCATCACTTTAGGGTGATAAGGGACAAGGAGGCATCAATGGTGCTGATGGTGAGCCCGGAGTAAAAGGAGAAAAGGTTAGTAAATTAACGTCAGTATCACTGTTTCCTTTTAATTCCCAGGAGGAAGTACTGTAAGATTTTTGTGTTTTTTAATTTTATATTTAAGCATAATGTTCTTCCCCTGCACACAAAGGAAACATGGTGTGTTGGTGTGTTAATCCTCACATTACTCTTGCTCTGTGCAGGGTGCAGCAGGTTTCCCAGGTTTCCCAGGGTTCAAGGGGTCAGCAGGGATTCCAGGAAGGGATGGAGATGAAGGACCACCCGGGCTCTCAGGACTTCGTGGGGACACAGGGCCTAAGGTACAGTATTCCTACCCCCTCAGTGTACTGCTGATATATTATACTGACAATTTTTTATGCTGCATTGATAATGCATTATTGTGCTGATAAATGGAAGAAAAACATGGACTCATTATCAACATTACAGATGAATTATCTTATTATATCAAGACATCGAGCTGTTCTCTTGATCACGACTTCCCTGCATCATTTTCTTTATGCTCCACACCTTTTCTCTGTGTTCCCTTAATGCTTGCTTCACCACGCAGTGCGATCCCCTGCGTCATTTTCATAAGACAACAAATTAATAATAGTCTAGCTCTTCTCGTTTGACAAGGACTTATTTGAATGTTATCTCTCTAATCAGTGGCTCATCCCTGCCTGTGTCAGATCCTCATTACAATTGTTGATCAGTGATCTCTCCTGACAAATCACTCATAAGTAACAAAATGACAAAATTATGATTTTTATCTTAATATAAGGGGAAAAGTCATTTATGAAAACAGTGTCTGATATGTGAAGAAAATATTTTTTTCTTGGGATTATACAAGTAGAGTTAAAAAATAAATATACACATTATTAACTCATGATTAGTTTTCTTGAGATACAGTTATTTGCCAAGAACAGTAAGTTGTCACACAATAATATGCCCAAAAGTATATCACTGGCTGGAGTTATTCACTGGCTGGTTGACACCAGTAGTGTATTAGAAGGTATGAATCACTACTTTAATGAAGTATACCCATATGAGAACACACCTAATTACTTTTAACTGAATGGGGCTGTCACAATGCAGCCACGTCTTTAACTAACACTGGTGTTATGGCAGCACTAAAAAGTCATGGGGCTTAAATCAGAAGCTACCGATATCTTTAAATTTTTTAATTTGGTCAAAAAAAGAGAGGAAGACTGAAAATGTCACACAGTGAGCAGAAGGATGAGCAGAGCTTGATTACAGTCATCACCATGTCTGTGTCTTAAACAGAGAGACTGGCAGCATGTACACTGCAGCAGAGGATACAGCAGAGACATGTCCTTAATTAACACACACACACACACACATACACACACACAAACACACACACACACACACACACACACACACACACACACACACACACACACACACACACACACGTCTATTTCCGTCTGCAGCTTTCAAGTAATATCTTACTCAATTAGCTCCTTTCAGCTACAATTACCAGACTTTCAGTGTTGACAGAGAGTGGCTGGAAACCTCTAATGAGGATATTCCAAGGATGTACCTAATTGGTCTGTCTTTCAGTGGTTAGATGTGCTGCAATGGATTTTTTTTTCTTGTTAGCATAGGGGTTTTGTAGAAAAAAGAAATTTGACTGGTGTTTTCTCTGTTCACACTTTTGTCAAACAGGGGGAGAGGGGCAGAAGGGGCAGGTCGAAACCATGTCAGAGGGGAGCAGCCGGGACTCCAGGACTCAGAGGAGAGAGTGTGAGAGTCATACATGAACACACTTCTCTAAACACACTTATAGTGGAGTGAGCCAAGTTAGCCTCAGTAACTGAATGGGTTCTCTCATTCTCTACTGTTCCTAATCATTTTAACAAAGGTACAACAATGATAAAGATAAGACCACAATGAGTAGATTCATGGGATACCATTGTTGCTCAGACACATAAATGTAACTGTATCCTAAATTATTTTATTTTTGTTACATTATAGTGCACATATTTGTAATGTAGAAATGTTCATTAACATGTAAACCAGATATAAACAATTCAAAAGGGATTTTTAAAAGCTGCATTTAATTGTTAGTTTTTGTACATAAAACTTTCCAGACTATTTTTGCAGCACACTTGTGGTGTTTACTGTATGTTAAGTGGGATATATTGTACTGTGCTACCAACAGGACAGGCTCCCTGGTGTCTTTCAACCCCTTAGTGAAACCTGTCTACCCACAACCTGCTATTCAAAATCCAAATGGACGCATTACAGTAGGCAGCTTGTAGAGGATCACCTAGTACAAACAGCTTTGGCTTGAGCTCAAACCTGCTTCCTTAACACTACTTTTTTAATATATGTAGATGTCTGACATGTATGTTGTCTTACTCCAGTGTTTGTATTTAAGGTACAATAAGACATGAAGCCGGTTATAGGTGCAGGTGGCTGGCTAGGCAAGAGGCTGGTTCAAAACAAAATGCTCTGTATGAAATACTTATAGCTTGATAGACTGTAATTAATGTCATGAATTTCTAAATGTGTTTTTAGGGTACAGTGGGTATTGAAGGAGGAAAAGGAGAGAAAGGGGAACCTGGACTCTCTGTACGTGTTCACACACAAATACACACACATATATGCACCTATATATATATATGTATATATATATATAATGACTTTGAATTATTTCATACTCTTTGTCAAGGCCGAAGAAGTGAAGGAGCTAGTCACCCAGGAGGTGGCAGAAAAGTGTGGTAAGATTGTTTGTTTGTGTGTGAATGAGTGTGTGTGTGTGTGTGTGTGTGTGTGTGTGTGGGTAGGTGAATTCGGGGGTGTCATGTTATTCACTTGTACATTGTGAACCCTCTATGTGTGCTTGTACTTTTTCTGTACATTTATCCAAGAGTGAATAAACGTGTGCCTCTAGACAGGCCTACATATTGTGTGTGTGTGTGTGTGTGTGTGTGTGTGTGTGTGTGTGTGTGTGTGTGTGTGTGTGTGTGTGTGTGTGTGTGTGTGTGTGTGTTTGTTTGTTGTAGAGCTCCCGTGGCAGCAGCAAGGCACCCGTGTGTGTTGTGCCATCTGTTATGTTCTCTCAGAGGAACACACACCATGGTGCCAGCAACAGTAGAACCATTCACAAACAAGAGACTGCCATTAAGTGGGACGCCTCACCAAGAAATCCACTACACACTTACAAGACAATTTGTGAACCCTTCTGTAATAGAAACAGAAGACCTTCGCAGGCGACATTTTGACATGTCACAGTAGGAGAAGCACAGGTGTTGATTATGGAGCCCCCAGAGTGTTTTAAATCTCACCTCAAAAACTATTTATTCTCAGTTCGCTACTCTGATTTGTTGATTAAAATATTCATTCATCATTTTATTATTGCCTTTTTTTTAACTGTAAAAGCATTTTTTTTTTACAACAACTGTGCCTATAATTTAGTGTAGAGCTTGTCATGTTTGAATGCAGATTTTCAGAATAGTTTTTATCATGATTTATAGCAAAATTTTGAATAATTTCTATTAAAACACCAGCACATAATTCTCACATTTATGTTTGACTGTCTTTTGCACCTTCGACAATGAGTCCGTGCTATGTTTACCACACATTTTTTTCTGTTCAAATAATTACCTACAGGTGGTTAATGTAAAATATTATTAATTCATACTTGCAGAAAAATGTATTATTTCAGCACAGAATATTAGAGCAGAATATTAGTCAGCTAATGACCTTGTTACCACACGTTTTATTCTACAATATATGTGATGAAAAATGTGTTTCTTTGTTCTCAGACTCAGACTAATGGCTGCCACTAATGCCACTCTATTATTTCAAAAGTATGTTGATGTATAGGACAAGATAAAAAAAACACACAGTGTGTCTGTATCATGTTTGTATCATCACAGGGTTGGAATACAAGTTCATGGTGAAGTCTGTGGATCCAGATGGAACAACCTCAGTGACTGAGAAGAAAAATGTGTCAGAAGATGTGTTGGTATCCGTCAACCATGACGTCCATGAAGAAGTAATAGAAAAAGAAGTGGAGGAATATGGAGACAATGTGGGAGAAATGACCAGTCCTGCCCCTGTGATCCACGAGGAAAAAGGGATCCTACCAAACCGCACTGGTAATAACAATAATTTAAAAAATTTGCTAGTTGTCCAGGCCCAAAGGCCAAACACACAGATGCCTCAGATATCATCATTTTCAAAATTGCTCAGTGGTCCCCGCAACAGTTTACAGCGTGTGACCAAGTGTGTGTCATAGCTAAATGGTTACATATGCCATACTTATGCGTAACAGCTGTGATCTAGGCAGTTTTTCTAGCGTGTAAGTTGAGACTTTGCAACAGTAGTAATGCACAATGAAAATATCGGGACACTACAATCACCTACACTCATTTCCACTATCTCATCTATTGTTTTGCTATATTGGGACTCATCAGAGTATATTATCATGCTTCTATCATTATTTACTAAAAAAAAGGAAGAGGTTGTGTTTGTCATCAGTGTCATCCATTTGTATTGGTGTGTTTGTAATCAGTTAGGTCTTACTCTGGGATAGGTTGGATTCAACAGTGAGTTAAATGGTAGTATAATGTTGCTATGGTTTCCAGCTATGGTTAAAAAATGTAAGTAAAAAGTGTTGTTTTGAAGCTAAGTTAAAGGTAGCGCGACTGAGCACACTATATCTGGTGTAGACCGTCAGTTTATGTACTATACACCATGGATGCAAGTTAAGCATAGGGATCTAAACACTTATTCCAGTTACCACACAATCTGCTTCATAGCAAAACACTATTGTCTATTTCTACACTGTCAACTATCCAAAAAAGCCTCAGTGGCTAATAGCACATCACTGTTCATGTCCTGGCGTGCTGCTGTTACTGAGGGCATCAGCACAAAGACAAAAAACAACAACCAGCAACTTAAATAAAGAGACAACACGTGCCAAGAGATCACATAATATTTCATGAAGCTCATTAGTGAATACAGCCCCCAGGCAAGCTTTGTGCCTCCCAATTTATTTTAATATTTGCTTCAGGTAAACCGGAAAACTAATCAAAGAGTGAGCCTGTCATTGCCCATTGTCAATGTCAGCATGTTTATTCATAAATTACAATGATCATATGAAAGACGATGACATTCAGCTCATCTTGTGTACAAAATAATAATTGTGCACAAGCATAGAAGCCCACAGTTCAATATTTACACTTTAATTTGGATACTTTAAAATAAATTAAATCAAAATGGCCTTTTGTACCAGCCTCTGCACTGAATTTAACCATCTGTAGTTCCAAGTTCTATAAAAAAATCTGCTGTATTGCTTTATAGCACTATATACTATAGCAATATGACCAGTGTCCCTTTAGCACATGCTTTATACAAACAATCTAATTGGAAAAGCTCTTCAAAACAGACCGGTCAGTATTGTGTGAGTTTCATATATCATACATCAATCAAACTAATCAAGCATAGCCTTAGTTCAGTCATCCTAGTATCAGTACATTGGCATCAGCTGCTTTACAGCTCATTTACCAGCTGTGTGGCTGAACATCCAATCAACACAGCAAACTTCATAGAACAAAGCCTATGTGCCTATAAATGTGTTCCTTCCAGCTCTTTCAGTCACTTTTTAATGATATTTTTGGTTTTCCCCCTTTCACCCCTGGTTTTAACGTTATTGTGTGATAGTGTAACTGTAATTGACTCAAACTAAGCCTTTAATGTTGCAGATTTATTGAAAGTTTGCACAGGGACATCAAAAAGACTACCACTGAACGCTCCATGTTGCTCTGCTACTTGGAGAAACAGTTTAAGATGAGTCAAAACACCACTGGCAATCATTAAGTGTTGGTCCAAGTGGTTCCTTCTTGGTCCCTAATGAATGAATCCACCAACCTGTAAAACTCCTCATTAATGTTGTTTTTCTTCAGATTCTTCTGAGGGGGGGACTGCAGAGTGGGGACAGAGGAAGAAAAGAAGGGTATTTGGAACAAACACTGCTGGTGAGTGGCCAAGACAACTGATTTCTTCTTATCTTTTTGCCTCCCCTCTTTTTTTTCTCTTGTTTACTTGCTCTGTATATCCTTTTTTTTATATCCATCTAGTCTGTTTCTATTCATATTTTATTAATGTATGAGTAATGTGTGTTTTTTTTTAAATTGTTAAAAGCACAAAGTAGAATCACAAGGTGGGAGAGAATGATAAGACCAAAACTTAATCTATTAATGTTGAACAGCCTGTACTTTTTTCATTGATATGCGCTGAAAAAGAAGCACAATTAATTGATAGCATCCTGTTTACAGTTACAAAATCACATATGTACATGAAGATATCAGCTGTGTGTTCAATACAGAGATGAAGCAGCTCATTCTAAGGTGACAAAAACACAACAATTCTTAATTCCATTATACAAAAGATGAATGTAGTATTCGATTTCTGCCAATAGATCCTCCTAAATGTTACACATTTGACCTTGAAAGCACAATTTCTGGGTTTAGAAATATAGCATGTGTTAAATACATATATTATGATGTATGACAACTAAATAAGACAACTTATTTACTCTACAGTGTATATATTGTAAGCTAGCTGTTTTATTCTCATCCAACGCTCCATAAGAAAGCAGACAACAAGTATTCCTTTTACACAAACAGTCAATGCTACAGCAGGTTTTTGCCATCTAAGTTGTGAAGTCTTGTCAGATGTACCCCTTTCTTATCATTAAATTAACTGACAACCCCCGACTAAGTGATTTCATATTATATTCAATGAATAACAATAATAATACACTACAACTTATAAACTATTCAATGCACACAATAACTGCAGGAAGTTTAAGTTAAACAAGCAATTTGGATGAATTATTTCCTGTGAATGTTGCATCAGAGATTAGTTTTCATTTTATTTAGAAAGATTTGTATACAATCCTGTATTATTACATTTAACATTACATAATAGGCTTCATTTAGTTTTCTTCATAGAAATGAATCAAATGCTGAGATATCAGCCTTCTGTGTATATTTTTCTTATAAGTTTTCTTACACACCTTAAAATCAATAAAGCCTTGCAACCCCCTGCAAAGCTTTGTCTCGACCCCCAGGTTGGGAAACTCTGCTCTTGGCATATGGCTACACATGATACAATTAAAGAAAAATGTATTCCACATATTTATTGTGCCTTAATTGGTAGACAAGGTTTATTTAATTTTAAAAGCACACAAAAAATCCCACAAATCCACTGAATCAGACATCCAATGGTGCCAAGCATTTGATATAACTCCTTGTAATTTTTGAGATACAATAATTTCTTTAACATGCTGTACTCAGTTGTTGGTCACTAGGGGTTAATCTCATGTTATCCCCTAAAAATACATGATAAAATTTCTCTTAGGTCTGCACAATCACAATACTAGACCAAGAAAAAGCAACAGATTATCATTTTTCTCTTTTAATCTATATTGTCACAATCGATAATATGTGTTTCAGAAATTATCAAGATCTGAAATTCCTAATCTATTGTTGTAAAGGTGTTTTACTGAAAAATAAAAAATAACCTGTAGTGACTAACGACTAAAAAGAAGTATGTTAAAGTACATAAAAATATAAATCCAATTTTAATGGATTTGTGCTTACTGTAGCACAGCTAGTAATGTTAGATATAATAACATAATAATAAATGTAAAGGAAATCCCTCTGTGGACATTAATGAGTTAATTAATTAAATGAATAATGTAGGTTGAAGTCAGCAATCCCACTCACCCACTTTTTGCAGCATATCCAACACCTGAAACATGGCAGAATACAGTGCTTTTAAACTTCTTATTTTAACCCATTTTTCACCTCACATGCAGTTCCAGCAACAGGCCGCTGCCTTGAGTCGATGTCAGAGGGTTCCTGCTCAGAGTATGTTCTGCTCTGGTACTTCCACCCTCGCTCAGGCGAATGCAGGCCGTTTGTGTACGGCGGATGTGGTGGCAACAGAAACCGATTCTCTTCAAGACGAGAGTGTCAGAATTGGTGTGGGATGGAGAGCCGTGGTAGAGGGATCCAATCAGATCACACATGAAATATACATTGTAACAGCTGTCCAGAAAAGTAAGAACTTCCACATGTACTGAACCCTGGAGATTAACCCCACACAAGAAAATCCTTTTTGTACATAACTGTGTAAAATGTTTAATATTGGATTTATTTATATAGTTTAACAGCAGTTTCTTGATTTGTTTTATGGACAAAGTGTTTTAAATCAAAATGTGAATGTTAAAAACATGCAATTTTTATACATTTTTCTGAAATAGACTGACTTTAGACTGAGTTTACTAGTGAATAATTAAATCCATCTCTTTACTTATGTGATCTGTCGTTGTCGTGCTTCTCTCTCCATCATTTGAGTCTCTTTCATGTAGCCCATAAAGCCCAGTCACCTTTCTTATGTTTTGTCAATTGCGCTGCGTCCTGTGTGGTGTGAAAAATAAGAAGCTGGTAGCTGATTGCCTGCTGCTGCCACCTCCACCACCACATATGCTCCTTTGGCAGGGGGTGTTATGGGTCAGGCTGGGAGCCAGAAGAGGGGCCAACAGGGGCCCAATGAGGGAGATCATGCAGGGCCTGCTTTAGAGGACTCTCCATCAGACCCACGCAGCAGTGGCAGGGGATTCCTGCGTGGGTGTTGATGTGGGGGCAGCACGCATTCAAGGTTTTTTTTTCTGGCGATGAAAATACACGACACAACTCATATTCTCAGGTTGCCATTGGTTGCTATTTTAAAGAGAATCCTGCAGTATGAATCCTCATGTCAACATTCAGTGTCATATTTTAACGTCTGTCACATCTTCAGTGCAACATGCTGCACCAGCTCCACCACCAGGTTTATTAAACTGACATCAGTTCCTCAAAAGGTTTCTCACTGACAAATAGTCAGTATTTAAAGCAGAAATTCCATTCACTTCAAAGTGATAGATGAGTCTTTCATCAACAAGCCTCTAGAGGCTTTCGTCATAGTAGTCACGATTCTGTGCTGAAATGTACTCCCACATGCTAGGATGGTTTATAGATATGCAAGATGTGGTAACACAGTATACAGGCTGTTCTCACTGAACCACACCCTCTGCCAACCTCAGCTTTTCAAGACCTACGACAGATGCCACACTGCAAAAAGAATTTAACTTAACATTTATCATATTAGCTTTCAAGTCTTTTGCTGAAATTGTATTTTGTTTTTACATCTACTTATGCTTGAAATATCAGAAAATAAATTAGACAATAAATCATTTTCTTAAAGCTCCGAAAACTTGGTTTCAAATAGTAAAGTTTTCTTGTAAGCAAATAAAAGTTTGTTACAATCAGTGTTACTCACCAAAACCCATTTGTGTATCGTTGAGATCTAAAAAATGTGTTGATTGCATGTACAGCTCTGCAAGAAACATTTGCATAGCTGATTTTAAATTGTGCAGTGTCTGCAATGTCTTCTTCTTCTCTGCCTTTGTTGGCCCATATCTTTGTTTATTGGGTGTGTCACTGCCACAAACTAACAGCAGGGTGTGAATTACGCTGCCTGCATGTTTATTCATTTATTTGCTAAAAATATTAGAGCTATTATAAAAGATATGATATGTAAACAATGCAAAGACATTCACATACATACAAACTTATACCTACCCAGATACTGATAAGTTAAAAGTAAACGGCACATTAAATTAGCAACAATTAACTTGACTTTTTTGTTGATTCTGGCGGCGCTTGTGAACAAAAGCGGTAGTGTTTCCACTGCCTCGTTTTGTTGATTTCAAGGGGAATCCGACCAAATCTGACCCGGTGGCAGGCATTAAGAATAACTATATCGAAACAGACAATCTTCTCACTGATGGTCACATTTACTTATGTAGGTAATATAAAGGTATCAGTACGGAAACTTTACAGGATACTGTACCTTTAAGTGTTTCTTTGTAACATTTAATATATACAGTCACATTTAAATTTGGAAAAAACATAATTAGTTGTTGGTTATGAAGAATTTAACACTCTAAAAGCTAAGCTAAGTTCAAGATTTGTTTTTTTCCCCCCCAGGATTTTGTGGTTGCTGCTCAACTTTGATTGGTGCATGGAAATACATGATATCATCTTTTTCCAATGGAGCCCCACCCACTTGAGCAAGGAAAAAATACACAAATACAGAAATCTGTCACATGAAATATTAATGAAATTAGCTTGAAATTCACTAGTGTCAGAACAATTAAACTCCTAGAAAAAATGGCATAACTTCCATCAAGAAAGAAGACAGCCATCTCAGCATATTGGTAGATATTCATAAGACTCCCGGACTAAAAAGTGTGTGTCAAATACACTTTCACACATAAACTGAGCAAATGTTCTTAATGGAGAACCTCAGATGAGTTCTCAACACATCCTATTTCAAATGACTAACAACAACATAATCCAGCAAGGTAATGAAAGTGTTATTTTTCCACTGAAGATGACGAGGAGCAAGTAATTTCCTTTCAGAGATCAATTGCAGAGGGGAAGCAGGAGTGGGAGGACATCTCACTGCAGAGTGTGTCACAGACTGTGATTACTCCAGCTGTGAAGACTTACAGTCATATTAATCTCACAATGAAGTTGCTCATTAGAGCTTGACCCAACACCCTTTGATCCTCTCACTCCTTCCATGTTCTCTCTTCATTTTGACATGGTCATGTACATCACTGCAGGTGGTTCCCATGGTGTAAGTTGAGTGTACACTCAGAGTTTTTAATTAAAACACAATGTTCTCAATATCAGTCTTCTTTTGAAATTATATACAGCATGAAACTCTTCATTCTAGGTCATATTATCAAACACAGTTTACTTGCTGTTATTCACATATTTGAGTCCATAACCCAAAGTTGTCAATGGAGAAATCTGATTTTTTGTTTGTTTTTGTTTTTACACCTCTACATGTTACATACACAGAATGAGACATTGTTATTACATTATAAATTTGCTCTGCATGAGTCAGTTTTATCAGCATGTTATTAAGAGGCATCATGGTGGAATAAATGGACCTACACTCTGCTTTGTTGCCAATAAATATATTTGTAAATCATTAATACATTTAATTATAGCATAAAGAGGAAATTTTGTTAAACTAGTGGCACCATTTTCAAATAGGCCACCCTGTATAATGGGTTTATATGCTGTAATTAATGACTTTATTAATGTTTAATACATAATTTAGGATGCTTGTTATCACTTTTGGGTATTTCCAGGTTGTTTTTCTAGTCTTTAGTTCATCAAAAGCTCTCTACGGCCCACTTGACCTCCTGCCTCCTGAAGAAAGGCTGCAGAGCATCTGAACCAAAATCCATTTGTTATTAACTTTTCAGCTTCAGACTTGCTGGATTGATGAACTGATGGTTTATTAGATAGCCAGTTATTGGCTTATAACTGACCTATTAAGCATTAGTCGAAGATAAATTAACCATTAATAAAGATATTAGTTTGCAACTAATGTCTTATAAATCCTTAACAAAGCTTACCTTATTAGAAAGTAGACTGCAACAATGAATCTGCTGATTATTTTCTTCATTAACCAATTAATTATTTTGTCAATTAATTGTCAGAAAATTACTGTAATTTCCCACAGCTTCAAAATATTTGTTTTATTCTACCATCAACACAAATTTACTAAATATACTATCATATATGACAAAGCAAATCATCATATTTGAGAAGCTGACTGAAATACATTTTTGCTTTAAAAAGCAATTACTTGATGGATGCAGACTAATCGACCAATCAATTAATGCAGCAAAGTGTGAAACTCTTACAATATATCATTAAACCATCTAACAAATTTAAAAAAATCTATCAAAAAAAGTCATCAGTGAAAATAAAGAGTCGCATTCTTCTCTTTTATATTTTATATGCTTTAAATTTAAGAAATTAAAAGAACTGTTCGTGGTCCTGAATTATGTAACTGTCCGTGGTTCTGAAAGGGAGCTGTATGTGGTCCTGAAGACGCAATCTCACAGCCATGAAACATTTATTCTAAAAATGTCTTTAATTGAGCAGCAAAGTGTTAATTAAAGGGCACTGCAGTTAAAAAAAACATAAAAGACTTATGTTGCATGAAAAACACAAGTTTTTCTTTGTATCTGTGGTCGTGATGCCTCGAGTTCACCGACAGGAGGTCACATTTACCAACTTTTTTTTATTTCTTATTTTTTATTTTTAAATTACCACTACATCACTGCATCCCAACCAATGGGATACCTCACAGCGGACTAAAATGTCAACGGGATGACGTTGTTGCTGGCGTAGGGCTGCAGTTTGATGGCTCCCTACTAAATGAATGCAGTGGGAATGGACGAGCAAGACACACACTGCTGGTCAGATAGCGCGCACTGCTGACCTCCGCACACACTATCAGCTCATCGGGATTTCTTGCCAACTTTTGACTTTTGAGGATTTCTGCTGGTTTTTTGTGGTTTTTTTATTTTTATTTGCAAAGATACGTGTTGGTTGACCTCACTAACTGTTTTCTTTATTATAGGACACGAGTGGTAAGTTGTGCAAAGATTATTGCTTACATTTTTGTGACCCAGTTGCATTTAAACCGTTGCCTTAATGGTCCAAAAATACACATTATATGTTCTTGTGCAAAGGCTTGAAGACTTTTTCTGAAAGACACAAGCTGAACCATCGATCTTAAAACAAAATCTTAGAGTCCTAAAGCCACATTTTTAATTAGAGAAGGTAGAAATAATAGTGTAGAGGAGGCTATTTCGTTCAAGACAGTGCTTATGTTAAGACCAATCACACTTTATTTTAAGATCCACTTCTTTGTAAGTCCGTTTTTAACACTTGCTCGAACATTAACACACTTAAGAGCTGCGCAAAAAGGAAATATGTTGTTAAAGTGGACAATGAGATGTTGAAATGTTTAATGGCATGTGATAAACTTTGTCTTCCTTCTCCCTTCTCCTCTTCTTTTGTAACCTGTGTTGGTCCCAGAGGACACAGCATGCTGTCCTCCCTGAAGACCCTGCTGCTGCTGTCGGTCCTGTGCACACCGACCTCCAGCCTGTGCCTCCGCCTCTACCATTCCCGCTCCGATCTCCTGTGCGACGACCAGGTGGCAGTCGGGGTCCGGAGCGACGATGAGGAGCCGGGTTACTCCCCCGTGGACGACTGGGGGTCCCTCCTGCAGTCCGCGGAGTATCTCACCTCCTCCTCTTCCTCCTCATCATCTTCTGCCGAGTCCAGCCGGGAAAAAAGGACTTCAAGTCCCGCAAACTACCGCTTCATGAGCCGGACCAAGCTCAGAGGGCAAATGCTCCGCAACAGCAGCAAAGGGGACCGGAGGAGCAGGCTGACCCTGTCCCTGGACGTCCCGACCAACATCATGAACGTCCTCTTTGACGTGGCCAAGGCCAAAAACCTGCGCGCCAAGGCGGCCGAGAACGCGCGCCTGCTGGCTCAGATTGGACGGAGAAAGTGAACATGTCGGACAACTTAGATTTAATAGACAGCCATGACCAGTGTTGGCCTCCTCGTTACTCAAATGTAATGAATTACTAATTATTCACTTTTAAAGTAATGGTGTTGATTTGTTTCTCCAGGGGAAGGGTATTTTCTTTCCAATCACATTACAGATAAAAGATTTCTAATGTAATTTAGTGGCTCTCATGTGAATGGTCCTTGGAGTCAAAGTCTCTGATAATATATATATATATATATATATATATATATATATATATATATATATATATATATATATAATATATAACTGAAAGGTTGGGTGATGATTATTCATGATGATGAGTTTGAGTTAAAACCTTTGTGGTGAGAATATCCATGTGTTTATGCACAACAGTGACACTTAAATCCAAACAGAATAAAGTCAAGAGCAATAAGGACAAAGTTATTGTACTTTGTATCAAGATGATTGGCCAGTTCAGGCAAGAAAACATGAGATGTGTTTTGCATTGGAAACAGGTGAACTTGTCTCACCCTTTGACTTTCAGATCTGAAAAGACTTGTGGATTTCTTTAAATTTACTTTTAACATGTTGAAAGTAAAGCAGGATTGCTCTCAGTAAAGACAACCCCCTTAGATTTTCCTTAATAGTATAATGAATGTTGTATGTGGTTTGTTCGCCCCAGAGTCATCAAATTTTAAATATTGGGCTAAAGAAGAAGAACAAAGCAGCTGTGATCATTAATTCTTACATCCTCAGCAAAAGACCAATGAAATGTTGCATAATCATAACATCAGATTTGATATCATGATGTTATCTCCCCTCCCCTCTTTGCTGCTTCATTTATTCATATTTTACAAGGTTTGCTGTTAAGGAGTTCCCATGGGAGCCAGTAATGATTCCAGATGTGATAATGTGAAACATCAACACAATACTGACACTGAAATACTGTACAAACCAACAGCAAGATCATGAAATACAGTAAAATGCAAATGCATGGGAATGTATGTGTTCATCAGATGTCTGTTATTTTTATACTCAAAATAAAGGATTATTTTTCCTCAAATAAAGCAGATGTAACTAACTGCATTTGCCTTTTTTTTCTTTTTTTTACACCATTTTGAACAATGATCCATAAAATAATTTATTGGCCATTACCAGAGCCTGGCTGATACATTGCTTTACTGGCCAATTTAAGCTTATGTATTGGTACAAGTATGCTCTTTAACAAGAAATTACAGTACAGAAATGTTCAAAAACGATTCTGTTTATGATGAAAAACTAAACAATATATCCAATATCAGTATCAGTCGGGCTGTACTATGTATATATTATGATGTAAATAACAAATGTATTTTGACAAAAAGTGTTAAAAGGCACTTTTTAAAATACATCAGTTTAATTTTATCTTGTATAATATAGGCAGTTGAAATGTCACCAGTCAAATGCCATTTAGTTTTGTCAGAACATATGAAGTTTGTTTATTCCACCAAACTAAACACTTAGTGGGGTTATTTATCTGGGGTCATTTGTGTCCTTCACCTTCCTGAGACAAGACTCAAGACACAGAGCAATGTCGACATCTAGTGTCCATTTGACCTGAAGACACCATGGGGGTTGTGAGTCAGCTCTGCAGGTGCTCATCCCGCAAACAGGTCAACGAATATCCTAATACCTTCCCATGCACACACATGCAGCCTCTGCAAGGATGAATTACTAACCAGGCAAAGTGGCCATAGACAGACATGGGTCCCGGTTCACTGCAACAATTTGACTACTTGCAAATTTGTCAATACTAAAACCAAATATAAACTAAAATGTAAAATTCTTATTGTTTTAGTGGCTGTGCTCACATGATGGTGTATATTCCCCAAATAAGCACAGTGAGTGGGCATTCAGTGGGAAAGAAAAAACACAGGTCCTTATTTTTAAATCCTAATCAATTCTTTACTGATAAGTTATTTACTTTTCACTTATTGGAAAACTGCCTATTTGAGCAAACTGTGTTTTAATCATTATCATCCATCCTAATTAAAGGACTTAATTACTTGTTTATTTGTGATCATAAATGTGCAACTTGCAGTACACTGTGCTGGACAATGTCGCCCCCTGTCGGTCATGACGCGGAACGGTTCTGACGCTGTTACGTTGACGTGGACGTCGGAACAGGAAGAGACTTTTTCATTTTGGCTACGTGGAAGTAGCTCCTCTCACGACCGAGGCTGGGCGCATCTTTTACCCTCGTCCCGTCAGCTTCATTACGGCATAATGATTAAAAAGTTTGATAAGAAGGACGAGGAGTCTGGTAAGATTGGAGATGTGTTACTTTAAATAGTGGCGACTGCGTCTGGATTAAGATGTTTGGACGCTTTGGAAGCTAACGCTTGGCTAGCCTGTTAGGTTAGCGATAGCTGGCAGGCTAAATTAAACTGGCTGTTAACGGTGGCTTGCAGGCTAGTTTATATTTATGTAGCAGGTAAATGAGGTCAATTATAAACCGATATGCATCTGCTTTAACATTTATAACCGCTGTTGTTTGCTGGCACAATGATTACAACACCGGTGTCCCACGCTAAGTTTAGCGTTAGCATTTAAAGCCAGGCGGTGTTAGTTGGATGTTGTGATGATAGTTTCTCTGAATATGAGCTTAAAATAAAGTATAGGTTGAGTGTATATTGAAACTTGCTGCAGTGGTGCTTTTATTTATTGGATATCTGTCTGCAAGTGTACTTTGTATTTTAGTTGTGGATTCATTTGTAGCATAAGGTCGCGTCCACTCTGCGTCCTTTTAAAGTGTATTCACTTTGTATGAAGCTCAGTTAAGTAACACGACCAGGTTTAATGGCACAGACGTCTGACTCTGCTGTTTTTGCCATTTAGGAAGTGGGTCGAACCCTTTCCAGCATCTGGAGAAGAGTGCCGTGTTGCAGGAGGTAAAGTCTGCTCTTGATGTTGCCTGAAACATGTTTTCTACTAATGTGAGACAGAAAGTATGAGCCAGAGAAACAGGGTCCTAACCACTGCAGTGAAATAAGGTTTCCCTTCTGGTTCACAGGCACGTATCTTCAATGAGACCCCCATCAACCCAAGAAGATGCCTCCACATCCTCACCAAGATTATTTACCTCCTCAACCAGGTAAGCACGTTGTTTGACAAAGCGTTAAAGTTGCTCTTCATTGGTATGTGTAGAGTTTGTGTCTGTGTGTTCATCTTAACACTCTCTCACTCTAATGTCTTTGTTGATTTAGGGAGAGCATTTTGGGACCACAGAGGCCACGGAGGCGTTCTTTGCGATGACCAGGCTCTTTCAATCCAATGATGTAAGATATTGTCCATTAAAGTTTTAGATACCTAATTTAAAAAAAAAAGCATTATTATAATTATACCACCAGTCTGTAATGTGTGTTTATAGTGTTCAAATATAGCAAGTTTAAACTCTTTCTTTGTCTCTCAGCAAACCCTGAGGAGGATGTGTTACCTGACCATCAAAGAGATGGCCAACATCTCTGAGGATGTCATCATTGTCACCAGCAGGTTTGTACAATAATGTTATATGGCTTTGAATATCACCTGTATGGAAATGCTGATATCTGAATGTATGCTTACATTTGTTATTACAATGGAACTGTTCTCATCCAGTAAACACTGGGATACATAAAGTGAAAGATTTGGATGTACAAAATTAGATTTGTCTCTCATTGTTATGAAATCTGGTAAATAAACAAGGTCTGTTTGACTATTTAAGTTATTACAGAGGAGAACAACTCTCTTGTAAATATGTTTTTGTAACGTAATGTGTTCCTTTTTCTTTGAGGTCACAGTGTCTTTTAATTATTCCTTGTGTGGTATTTTACAGCCTCACCAAAGACATGACAGGGAAGGAAGATGTATACAGAGGACCTGCTATCAGAGCCCTCTGCAGGATTACAGATGTGAGTGCTGCTTCATTTTGTTTTCCTCCCTTTCCTGTCTTCCCATCTCTTCCCATCTCACGTAATCTCACACAAAAAGAAAGCCATCCTGTAGATACTATTTAAGTCTTAAAATTATGAAGCGGAAACATAATGTGTTGAATTGTCCCTGTCTTTTCCACAGACCACCATGCTGCAGGCCATTGAGAGATACATGAAGCAGGCTATTGTTGACAAGGTGCCCAGCGTGTCCAGTTCAGCCCTGGTCTCCTCACTGGTAAATTGGCACAGTTTCATATTTGACTTATAAATTCAGAATTAACTTTTAAAGTTTGATCCAATCTCAGATTTTATTCTCTTGGTATTTTGTGCCCCTAGTAATGAGTTATAATTGTGTAATTGTATATAATATAATTGCAATTGGGTAATTAAGTTCTTTCTGTTTGTGTGTGTTCAGCACATGGTGAAGATGAGCTATGATGTGGTAAAGCGTTGGGTGAATGAAGCCCAGGAGGCGGCTTCCAGTGACAACATCATGGTCCAGGTGGGTAGATGCTGTTGAACCATATGGTATTTGTGTAGACGGTTGTCTCCACTGGAATTCTATGTAGGCATACGACAAGTACTCATAAAATTAACATGTCAGATAGTTAAGATTAAACAGATCTTCTCAAATCTGTTGTTTGTGTGTGTCCCCTCTTCCAGTACCATGCCCTGGGCCTGTTGTATCACCTCAGGAAGAACGACCGTCTTGCTGTCACCAAGATGCTCAACAAGTTCACAAAGTCTGGTCTCAAGTCTCCCTTTGCCTACTGCATGCTCATCAGGATCGCCAGCAAACTGCTGGATGAGACAGAGGGAGGGTGAGTAGACCCGCAGTAGTCTCTGGCAGAGACTCACAAAGACATCTAGGCACATAGATAGTACATAGAGTCCCCACTGATACATTTTCTGTTGTCATCTATAGTTGTTTACAGTATTGTATTCTGTTTTTATCTTCTCAGTCACGACAGCCCCTTGTTCGACTTCATTGAGAGCTGCCTGAGGAACAAGAATGAGATGGTGGTGTATGAGGCTGCCTCTGCCATTGTCCATATGCCCAACTGTACTGCCAGGGAGCTGGCCCCTGCTGTGTCTGGTCAGTAGTTTACTCACACCTCATTCATTTAGCTTTTTATTTCTTTGTGCTGTTGACACAATGAACACAATGATGTGTTGTTTCAGTGTCCTTATCATATTGGTATTTTACCAGTCTCACCGTGAATGTATTTGTCTTCCTGCAGTTCTGCAGCTCTTCTGCAGCTCTCCCAAAGCAGCCTTGAGATACGCTGCAGTCAGGACCCTCAACAAGGTATAGCTTCACTCACTGTCCTTTATATGGCTTTTTTTTTTTTTTTTTATGTGTAAGCATAGAGCAATTACCTTTTTTACAAGCTTACAATTTGTTGAGCTATATGTATTAAGGCAGTAAAGGTGGTTGTAGGTCCCCACTGAATTCTCAGCTGGATATATATACTTAAATGATTTTAATAGTGACTCTTCCTTTGTGTCCACCAGGTGGCCATGAAGCATCCATCGGCTGTGACTGCATGCAACTTGGACCTGGAGAACCTGATCACCGACTCAAACCGCAGCATTGCCACACTGGCAATCACCACGCTGCTCAAGACCGGCAGTGAGAGCAGCGTGGACCGACTCATGAAACAGATCTCCTCATTTGTCTCAGAGATCTCGGACGAGTTCAAGGTCAGGTGCTTTTGTTTTAGTTTAGTTTAATTTCATTCATACACATTGGGTGTCATGAATAGGGAGATCCTACTTTAGCTGTCACATTTAAAAGTTGCTGAAATCTCCTTAAGTAGGGCATTAAAGCCCTGTAGTCACTCTACCCAATAGATTTCTTTCCACGGATAAGCTATTTGTCTTGCTTTAAATGCGAAAAAACATCAAATACTCTTTAGGAAATGAAGGCCAGGCAGAACTTTAAAAACAGGAGTGTTATTGTCTTATTTTCTGGATGTTGTATTGGCATTCTAACACAATACTTGTTTAAAGTGTGAGAATGTTTCACAATGAGGTGTTGTTTTTGCCCAGGATTTCATCTTCTGTGGCCAAAAAAGATTAATTTCTAATATGAGATTCACAGCTTCGCCCCCCCCTTTTTAAATCCTGTTATTTTTGTCCTATTTTCTGTTGTCCTAAATCTGTCCCTGATGCTTGTTTACTCCAGGTGGTGGTGGTGCAGGCCATCAGTGCTCTGTGCCAGAAGTATCCCAGGAAGCACAGCGTCATGATGAACTTCTTATCCAACATGCTCAGAGATGATGTAAGTTGATTATTAACGGACCGCTGACGATCATTCACTCTTTGGTCTTTGCCTCCTTATCACTGATATCCTTACCTATACAGAAAACTCGCTAGTAACATACATGTTATCGCAGCTGGGCAGCTTGCATGCTTTTAGTATTCAGATCACTTAAATCGTTTTTTTTTTATGATACATGTTGGAAGGTAAAAAGGTGTTATAACAACACAATAACTGTGTGTAGGTGATGCATGTTTGTGGCCCAGAAGCTCAAAGTGTAATTCTTTTTACTCAGTTAAGACATACAGTTTGTGTTGCACAAGACTCAGAGACCATCTCTCCCCTCCCTGCAGGGTGGTTTTGAGTACAAGCGGGCCATCGTGGACTGCATCATCAGCATCATCGAGGAAAACCCAGAGAGCAAAGAGACAGGTTTGGCCCACCTGTGCGAGTTCATCGAGGACTGCGAGCACACGGTGCTAGCCACAAAGATCCTGCACCTACTTGGCAAAGAGGGCCCACGCACTCCCCAGCCCTCCAAGTACATCCGCTTCATCTTCAACCGAGTTGTGCTGGAGAGCGAGGCTGTTCGTGCAGGTGAGACAGAGAAAGGATAATGTGTGTGCCACAGCATTGGTTTTTAAGTAATTTCACTTATTTTATCTCAACCTTTGCCGACTCCACAGGCTGATTCTTTAACATCCGAGCCAAGTATTTATGCCGACACTACTCAATTCATTTATTTCTTCTTCTTCCACCCTCAGCTGCAGTCAGCGCTTTGGCTAAATTCGGAGCTCAGAATGATGATCTGCTTCCGAGCGTCCTGGTTCTCATGCAGAGGTACTCATTAACTTTCTTTTGTTTTTTTTTTGTGTGGCCGTGTTTCCCCACATTTCATCTTTCCGTGGAAAATGCAAAGACAACACTGGTCAGATTATCGGTAATGGTTGTGAGACCTCTATGTATTCTACACCATACATTTGTGTTTGAATGAGTATGTGATGTAGTGTGACTTTTAACACTTGTCCGTGTCCGTAGGTGCATGATGGACAGTGACGATGAAGTCCGCGACAGAGCTACTTTCTACATGAACGTGCTGCAGCAGAAGCAGAAGGCTCTGAATGCTGCCTACATCTTCAACGGTAAAGACGTGTAAAGGATTTTGAGCGAATTACTAGTGGCTGCTGGTCAAAATGTACAAACCATAAATGCAGAGAGCCTGCCAGACAGCTCGTAGGGCAAACACTCTGCAGTTCTCCAAAGTGACAAGCGATAACGCCTCCTCTTCTGTGTGTTATTCTCAGGTCTGTCAGTTTCCATCCCCGGCCTGGAGAAGTCTCTGCACCAGTACACTTTGGAGCCCTTGGAGAAACCGTTCGACATGAAGTCTGTCCCTCTGGCCACCACTCCTATCACAGAACAGAAAACAGGTACAACCACATAGCTATTTACTTATAAATAAATAATAATACTCAACTGTTGTAGTCTGGAATCAGATAGTTCAGGAGTGTCTGTTAATGTTGTTTTTCTTTTTGCTTCCCAGAAATCGCCCCTATTTCCACCAGCAAACTGCCAGAAAAGTTGGCCCCATCACGCCAGGACATTTATCAGGGTAAGGTTGTAAAAAGCTTTCCATCATTAGATTCAAGATGAGTGCGGTGCAATTAGACACTGGCCTTTTTAATTAAAGATATCAGGCAGGAGTATGAAGGTAAACATCAATCTCATCTTTGCTCTTTGTCTCTGTTGACAGAACAACTGGCGGCCATCCCAGAGTTCCAGGGTCTTGGCCCGCTCTTCAAGTCTTCGGAGCAGGTGCAGCTGACGGAGGCTGAGACAGAATACGTGGTGCGCTGCGTCAAACACACCTTCGCCAGGCACATGGTGTTCCAGTTCGACTGCACAAACACTCTGAATGATCAGCTCCTGCAGAAGGTACCAGCTTTATTTACTTGGATTTTTTTTTATGAATCTTTATTTGGATCACTGATACTACTTGATTCAGGGTTTTAGAAGTAGTTAAACTAAAACAGGGAACAAAATTCGATATGAATGTATCTCTTGGGTTGTGTCAGGTCATGGTGCAGATGGAGCCATCGGAGTCCTATGAGGTGATACACTACGTCCCGGCCGCCAACCTCCCCTACAGTCAGCCTGGTTCCTGCTACACTCTGGTCCGCCTGCCTGATGACGATCCCACCGCTGGTAGGAACACTGGGATGTTATTGTGCTTGTGGGAGCAGTGACAGTATAAGAGTTCTTAACATTTAGATCACAAACAGGTTAATTAAAGTCATTCAGCAGCCCAAACCTGAGTTAAAAGTGACCTTGTCCAGGGTCCTAGAATACTAACTTTTGAGCAGCACACTGAGCGAGCATCAACTGTATATGATAAGATGTAAGAAAACTGTGCTTAGGTGTGTCCAATCTGTCCACAGTGTCTTGTACGTTCAGTTGTACTATGAAGTACCTGGTCCGAGACTGCGACCCCAACACAGGAGAGCCAGACGATGACGGTTACGATGATGAATATGTGGTACGTAATCACAGCACTTCCACAAACTTAACAAAAGGAGAATGGGTTTTGTTTTCATCAACTTAAATTATCTTTTGTTTCTTTCTTTGACTCCAACTCTTCTCTCTTCATCCTTCAATGTTTCCTGTCCTCCTCCGCCCTGCTCTTCTTTAGCTGGAGGATCTGGAGGTGACGGTTGCTGACCACATCCAGAAGGTTTTGAAACCGAACTTTGGAGCGGCGTGGGAAGAAGTGGGAGATGAATTTGAGAAAGAAGAGACTTTTGCCCTGGCGTCTGTACGGACTCTAGACGGTACGCAGAAGTCTGAAATTTAGGCTGAAATCTATAATTCAAAGACCAAAGTGAAAGTACAGACATAGCATTCACTTATAGTAGACCCAATCATGAAGTTTCATTACTTTCTGTATATTTTTGTAAAAAGAAAGCTTCCTGAACTGATTTACACAATATTTTAAGCAGTGTTTAGTTTATGCAATAACTAACAACTGACTGTGTTATGTGACTAATCTGTGGTTTTCTTGTACAGAGGCGGTGGGTAACATCATCAGCTTCCTGGGAATGCAGCCATGTGAACGCTCAGACAAAGTTCCCGAAAACAAGAACTCGCATGTCCTCTTCCTCGCTGGTGGGTGTCAGGATGGTGCTGGTCACTGTTTGGTCTTTAAACATTTATTTTTTTTAATTGAGCCTCTTATGCAAGATAAAGTTGTCTTTCATGTAACTCTTTAAGATGTTTTTGGAGACCAAATGTCATAACTACAAACAGCAGGTTGAATTTAGATTTTAGTGTATTCCAAATTTGGTCGAATATTGTATAAAGTTAAATTATCAATACTGCAAGAACACCTGTAGACGTATTAGTCCTAAATAAGACACGAACATATTTAAATACACTTTCTATCAAACATAATACTGTTAATCACGCTCTACTCAGATTTTATATAAGAATATCTTATTAATGGACACTCCTGGTGAATTAAGCGAATGAATGTGGTCTGATTGGCTCTCCCTCCCTCTCCTGTCAGGTGTGTTTCGTGGAGGTCATGACGTGCTGGTCCGCGCGCGCCTGGCGCTGGCCGACGGCGTCACCATGCAGGTGACGGTTCGCAGTGGCGAGGAGACGGTCGTCGACGTCATCCTGGCGTCCGTGGGCTAAAGTCTCACGGGGCAACTTCGTGCCAACCCAACCACAAGAACATTCGTTTGTCTGAGACGTCATTTAGTTCTTCTCCACAGCTCTAAAACTTAATGTATAATTATATTGTGATTATTATGCTGATAAACAGCCAACCTGAAAAACAACGTAAATGTTTTATTACTTCTAGTATATGAACTAGTGTTTCTTCACTGTTTCTTTATACTGTCTGCTGGTCCTCATGTTTTCTTTGCAGTAAGATTATTCTTCTGTCAAATCTTCAATAAATTCTGACTGTCAATGTACATCACCATTCATTCAGGGTTTTTTTTTTTATTTATTTTTTATTACAAAACTAGTTTTATTTGAAGAAAAGTTGACGTTTAGCTTTTTTCATTAACATCAAGAAAAATGTAGAAAATCATATCAAAACTCATTCATAGTGCAGCTGATTGCAGGAGCCAACCAACAGAAAATGGAAGGAATCAAAACAGTCCCACAGACAAGATCAATAATCACACAACCCACAACATCATTTTAAGTATCATGCTTCGTCTGGGGGTTCATAAATTAACACGGTCACTGTCGGATTAGTCAGTTACATTAAGTATAATTCATCATGTTTCTTGCTCACATTTAATCTCTTCCAATGCCAGGTAATTGAGATTTTATGGGTTGACGCTGGTAAATTAGCCCATCGTTTGTGATAAAATCTCAAACTGATGCAGCATTTCTCCTAACAGTAATCAGGAAAGGTCATTTATCACTTTGAAGTGTTGCTAAAGTACTGAATAGCTTGTACATTATGCAGGTTCTATGCACTCGTTCTTGAACACGGGCGTTTGCATGTGTTATCCCTTCAGAAAGAGTGAATAAAATTAAAATATGCATTGAGGAAGCCGGTGGGATCTTCCAGCTGAGGGTAGTGACTGATGTGTTCGTCCAAGATGGTGACTGTCGACCTCTGGACCAGCTGCCTGTGGGAGCAAGACACATGATTGAGATAAGATAATAATAATTACATAGATAACAATAAGAGGCCTTCCTCAATGACATTCCTCGTGGCCTAGTGGTTTAAAGCGCTTCATGTGAGCTGCAGAGTCATGGGTTCAAGTCCAACTGTGGACCTTTTAGCATGTTCATCTTTTTTTTAATTTTTTAATCTTTTTTTAATTTTTTTTATTTTATGTTCTCTCAACTAAAATGCAGACAAATCCAGATAACAATTATGTCTCAAGACATGGAGTGGATACAAATATAAATCATCTTCACTATTTTTTTAGTGAAGATGAAAGGAACTGGAACTTTCAAACAATATGGAAGAAAAACTTATAACAAGCTTTCTGACTACATTCTATATAACAAAGATCCATTTATAGTTTCACCATATCTCTTTCATGGTGTAGTGGAAGTGTGATAGGTTCTATAATCATTAGATTCTTGGTTCAAATCCAGCTTGAAGCTGTTTTTTTTTATCAGTGTGCATTCTCAAATGCTCACTGCTGCATTCAAGAGAGCACACTGGTGCCTCAACCAGTGTGATGGTGGCGAAGCAACAACACATGCACCTTGCAAGCATCAAGTTACCAGTTCAAAACTGAGCTAAGAAACAAGAACAAATGAGATTCCCAACTGTATGTGACAGTGAAGAAAGATGGTGGAAAAACTAAACTTAGAGTCTCAGGACAGAGACTGAAAGAAATGAACCAGATTCCCAACCACACATGAGAGAAGGGAAAGATGGTGAAATAAGCAAGTGCAGTCCCTGACAGTGAACCCAATAAACACTGCCCGAACAAGATTCCCAAATGCCCCCAATGGTGGTAAACCACACAGTCTGAGACAGCAGGTGAAATCAAAGACATCAAATCCTCCACAAACAAAGGAAATGTGAAGAAGATAAGAATACAGAACAGCTGATGCGACATTTCCCTTGTTTTTAAATTTGAGCCAAATTACAGTTTAGCTTCTAGCAGGACCTGAACCCCTGACCTTCTGGGTACCAACCCCTTGCTTTACCTCTACACTACCAACTCCAAAACAGAAGACAAAAAAAAAAAATAAACATAACTGAAATTAAACTAAATATATATATATATATATATATATATATATATATATTTTTTTTTTTTTTTTTTACTTATTTACACAGCCACTTTCTTTCTTCCTAACTTTTGTCCATTGAAATCAAAACACAATCTCATAGCCAAACAATAAAAAACCATAAAGAACATCAGAAAACAAGAAAAGAGTTCAGATTCTATCTTTAAAACGACCCATTTGTCCTCACTCACATTGAGCCAGTGAGCTGGACGAAGATCTGCCAGGAGGTGAGTGTTTTACACGTAATCTGAATGGGGCTTTATTAGAATTAGAGGCGGGGGCACTCACTGGTAAAGACGGATGAACTGGGGATGAGGGTTGACCGGGTCCAGGGGTCCGTAGATCATATGCACTGAAAGACAAGGAGGGATCAAAAGATGGAGGGAGGAACACTGAGAAATAGAAGAGTGCTGCAAATGGGAATTCTTAAAGGAGGGTGGCTCATTTTAAAAACTGGAAGATAAAAGCAAACAGAATTTCTAGAAATGAAAAGAAGAACCTATATGATGTTCTAGTTAAGATATTAAATTAAATTAGAAAATTTAAGTTTTTGTTTTGTTGGTTGCTCTATTTGGTTGCAATGTAGCACTCTGTACTTTTATTTAATTAAGTTAAATTGTTCCTGGTTGACTTTTATTCCTCCTTTTGCTTTTCAAAAACACGTAAAGATAATATAGTAAATAACTATACATCGTAAACAATTAGATATTAACTTGTAAACAACAAATAAACAAGGCTAAGAGTCCATGGCCGCTCTGTGGGGCACAGCTATGTTTCGAGCTAAATGCTATGCTACCATGTTTACAATGATAATGATAACATATCATTGACTGTACATAGAACATATAGATGTTCAGCAGGTCGAATGTCTTAGCATATTAGCATGCTAACATTTGCTAATTAGAGAAGTACAGCTGATGGGAATGGCATTAGTCTTGTGGGTATTGGGTCATGTTGGACAAATACAAATTTTGGCTTGATGATGGTTCTAGCAGAAGTCTTTGGTGGTGTACTGACCAGTCTTTTAACATTATTTTCTTAACCACCCGATCCTCCAACCGTTCCCATCTACCCACTGATACCATGATTCACATGAACCAGCTCAGAAACCCTGGCTAAAGCCTTTTTGCTGCATTTGACATGAGGTCTGTGTCAGTAGCACACACACACACACACACATTACTACCTCTACACTTCCCCCTCTTGAGCTAATGATCACAGATGGACTACGAGGCTTCTCCTCGCAGGCTAAGCAGCTTAGCATCAGCGGCTCTCTGGCCGAGGCTGCTGAGTTAATGCACCTTAAGGAAGAGTTTCGGCCCACACAGAAGAGCCTCCTCCCTCCGATTTATTAATGCACACATCACGACGTCTGATGCAACCGTGAACTCACGTGGGACGAAGGTGGAAGTGAGCGCGCCCACCCATCGCTCTCTGTGTTTCAATCTCTGGTTGATGTACTGCAGAATACTGAGAGAGAGAGGGAGAAGACAACATAAGCAATGAGGGAGAGGAGATGAACAGCAGCAAAGATAATTAAACACACACACACACACACACACACCTGTCCAAAACTAAGTTGCCATCCTTGTAGCGTATACCCGTCCACATGTCCCAGAACTCAGTGTCTGTGGGCTGCGTGTAAGGACCAAACACATCTCCAATCCTACCAGTCAGCAGAAAACAATATCCACAATAAGAAGTGTATTTATGCATTTATTTTCTGGAACAAACATCTATCTGAACTTCCCAATGTGCAACAAAACTGTGCTTCTCTTACCCCTTTTGGAAGATCATATAGTTAGTGAGGCGGGTGAGAATTGGAGCCAGAAAACTGGAGTCCTTCAGAAGCTTTTGGAGACGAAAAAACCCGAAAATTCCAGTTCAATTTCATCAGCTTTTTTTATTCCCTGTGAACTCAAATGTTGGGTGAAGAAAACAAAGGTGACTCACCGTCTGCAGCAACCGTGGGTAATGTGTTTCTGGAAATAATCCTGTTGGAAATAGCACTGAATGTGACTTCCACAGCAAAACAATCAGATTTGGGTACAGTTAAAATACTAATTCAAACATTTCAGTTTAGGGCTCACGGCTCAAAATGTACTTTTTTCCTCTGTGTTATTAATTTCTACAAATATCAGGAAAAAAAGAGCTTCTGAAATATATTACCTACCCTAGCTTTAATTGTGAGTGCTGGTAAGGCTGCAACTAATTATTCCCAGAACACAAAGATTATAATGATATAAAGGAGATAACATCCTCACAATTTATGTAAAAATAACTTAAATAACTGCATGTTCTCGTTAAGAAATATCTATTATTTTTCTACCTCACTGATTACAGAACGTAAAATCCCTGCTTGTTGGTGCAGACAAATCTCCTATCTACAACAGTCTACAAAGGAAACAGGCGGCACTGTACCTCCATTAGAAAGACACAGGCTGTTAAAGGTCAGGCGACCTGTGCGATTTTGGTCGCTCCTGGTTTGGAGAGAAACAGCAACACGGACAGAGGGAGGAGTGGTTAGCGCTTCATCTTCTTCCTCTGTTTCTGATCATTTGCATACGGACACTGGCACACATACGTACCTGTAGAGCAGCTCCAGGGCCACGGTGTCGCCATAGTCATGTGAAACCAGGTTCACTCGCTGGTTGCTCAGACCCAAGTGAGCCACGAGGGCCTCCACCACACTGGCCTGCTCAAAGATGGAGTACCTATGGGGTCGCTGGGATGATAAGGCACAGAAGGAAATGAGTTATGGGTAAGTGAGGAAACAGAGTTAAACATACATCCATCTATAAAGTAAACACTATTCTCATAAAAGACATTTAAATTGACACAAATTTGACTCACTGGCTTGTCACTGAAGCCAAAACCCAGGAAGTCCAGCGCAATGACTCGATGGAAGCGCTGGGTGAGTGGATCCCAGATCTGTATTGGGGGGGGGGGACACTTTAATCTATGGCTGGTTCACAGCAGGAGCCAAAGAGTCCTGAGGTTAGTCAGTTGTGTGTTGTGTATGCAGCGGGTACCTTGTTCCAGTCGTAGCTGGAGGTGGGGAAGCCGTGGAGCAGAATGACGACATCGGAGCTTCCCAAAGCACCATAGGAATCTGGTGTGAGGGGAAAAAGAGAAACACATGTGTGATACGCACAAATAAACAAACAGCATGTGGTGAAAGAAGGCAAACGCATATCTTTGCATGTTTTACTGCTGCTGGGGGTTGACTGACGGGGTGTGTGACGATGAAAAAAAAATAAAGATTATGTACGATTAGGTCTCTAAACAGGGCCATTTAATGCGCACATGAATAGTCAATTGCTTGCTTGCTTTAATTAAATGCTAATCCAGGATCACGGATCAATGAAATGTGGCATTATATAACACAAGGTTGTACAACTTAGTTGGCAGTAATGCTGCACACACAGAAAAAGATAATTACATTTACAGAAAAACATATACAAAAAATAATAATACAACAATGTATACAGTTATTTATATACATATATATGCCGATATGCTGGGGGACTGTAAACTGCAGCAACAAGATAGTGATGATAATATTGGTAATATTGATCAGTAATCATTGATTCCAGCTCTTTTTAAATGAGAGGATTTGCTGCTTTCTCCTGTTTTACATCGTTGTAAAATTCTTGACCTTGGAGCCCCCTGAGAAAACCACAGGGTCCATTTAGTGTCTGTTCTTGAGCTTTTGCTCGTATATCACATGATCTTCGACGTGTGCATTTCTGAGCCAGAACTGATGAGAAATCTGCTGATGAAGGCCATGTGATATGACTGAAAGCTCCAGAACAGCTACACAATGGACTGCTCAGCCCCCCCCAGGTCACATTACAACAACCCTGACACAATCTATGGAGGTAACTGAACCCTGTAGCTGTGGCAGAGGCCCTCTCTTACCTCTGTAGAAGATCTCCCTGCCCCTGAAGTGGAAGACCTCCCCGGCACTGTGCCACTTGTGCAGGGCAGGTGACAGCTGAGGGGGCGGGATGTGCAGGTAGACGGCGACCAGCGGGATGCAGATCAACCCAACATGGATCCACCACTCTCTCATCTTGAGCTCAGCGGTGGGGGAGTCTCATTCCTGCCTCTGAAGGGACGACAACAAAACAACAGTGTCCAGAGATAAAGGGGGGGGTAGCTCTGCCTCCCCACCACCTCTATTAAAGACTGCATTGCTATACAATAAGATAAACGAATGTGCATCTGTGCGGGGTTCTCTGACAAGAAGCAGCTGACAACCACACCACTGTCACTCAAATACGAATGAAACCTTACAGCAAGTTAGCAAAAGAAATGTCATTTTCAGGGGCAAACGCAACAACTCACGGCAGCTAAACACCTCCACTCGCTCTCCGTACTCATTATCCTATTAGCTGTGTGTTCTGTATTGGGCTCGCACGGTAGCAGACTACAGTACTTACAGAAATGTTGCGACCCGTCACTAGTAGACCTTTCGCCCAGGGTTGAGGCTTCACACATTCCTGCGGAGCGGAAAAGAAGGACGGTTTACAGAGAGGGGTGGAAAAGCGAAGACGTCTCACTCTCCTCCCCTTCCAGACGCTCGAACTGGGGAATCCTTACAAAGAGTGCTTTGTTGCGGTTTTGCGGTCACTCGTTTAAGAAGACCAAGCCGAGTCAGTCATCTTCGCAGGAGGCAATCTTTGTATGAAATGTTACGGGCAGAGGCGCGGAGAGAAGTCTACTGCCCTCTGCTGGCCTGGATGTGCAACGACACATATTCTTTACGTCTAATCTATGTCTACATGTAAATTGTAATTTTAAATCGATTAGTCAATAGGCAAATAATCAGAAAATGTATTGGAAATAATTTTGGTAATCTCATTAATTGTTTATGTAATTTTAAATATTAATTTTAAAGCCCTGAAGAATACTTTTTTAATATAACTTTTATATGTTTATTAGTAAATAAGCAACATTGGAAGTTAAAGTTGGGAAATTAAAATATAAAAATCCTTAATTACATTTTTTAAAAGCTCAGCCCTGAAAAAAAAAAAAACATGTGGGTGTGTGGTGATCAAAGAGGAGGATGTGACATCACCTTTTTCCAGCTGGGACCCATTTCAATTAAGTAAGTTAAGCAAGAAAAGCAGAAACAAACAGAGAATTAACCAAACTTTTGGCACAAATGTGTGTTCAATCATATATATATATAAATATAATCAGTGGCAGGCCTAATTATATCTGCAATACTTACAGTATGATAGAGTCTGGGTTTGTTTTTAGCCCAAGAGGCTTTTTGCAGTACGATCAAGTACATTTCACTCTTAAACAAAATATATTTTAATTAATTTCTGCTCAGGATTTAAAATAATGTTATTTACATAATAAATGCCTTTCACTGATTTTTTTAAATACATATTTTTAGCACTGTATATCTGTTCTTATATGAAACATATTGCATTTGCAATACTGTATTTAGGACAGATCAGATGTTAGTAGGACATGGCATAAAGAAAGACCATTTGAGGCATTTTCTAAATAATCTCTGGATATGAATCTGACACACATCTCTCATAATCTAGAATAAAAAGGTTACAGTTAGTACATTCATGTGTTTAATATATGCTATCTGTAACAGTGATTTGACTACTGTTCATTAGCAATAATCTAATGGTTACAATACATGCAGCAATTGTGCAGTTATGCAGAAAAGCAGCTTCCTTTGTGTGTAAATCGCCTTCAAGACCGAGATTTTTTGCAAGATGTTTCACTTTCCTTCACTGCAGAAACATGCATTTGCACTCTGCGGTCCATCCCATGAATACTGCATGGTAAATGAAAAACATGGCCCTGCAGTTAGGCTAAATACATTTTTTATTTTTAAAAACCATACACATTACTCGACAAGTTTCAAATGTAAATCCAATCACGATATCCATTTAAAATGCTCAAGATAAACAGACATGAAGTACTTTTATTTCCAAATGTTAAAAGATAAAAAAATAATAATCCATAAAACAGATGGAAAAAAACATTCATTCCCATTACAGGAAGAAGCTACAGAACAAACTCCTCATGTGGATTCCGCTTGTCTTTTCAATTTCTCACTTTGTACGCAATCCTAGCTGCTATTTTGTCATCTGTAAAACAAGGAAAACAAACCATTTCCTCAGAGAACGTTGTGATTTAACATCTGCACTTCCTTCCCCTGTCCGAGGCCCTTCAGGTGAAGACGGCCAGAAGGCTGCAGGAAGAATCTGCAGCCTGCTGCCCGAGTCATCCCGTGTGGTTGACAAGCAAACGTCCCAAATATTGAATTAAGTGTGGTAATATACAAACTAAAAAGAGGCCTGTTCTCTTTCACACCGTTTGCACCCTGAGATGAATATTCCAGAACAACACACATTTTTAGTGGCCAAAACCCTCCCCATATAACGTGATTGGTGTCAAATCATCCAAAATTGGTTTAGTACGATGAAAGGTATCATCAGTATTGTCATAAAAATACAAAGGTACACTTTTTTAATTATGCTTTTGTATCAAAATTCCTTTTTCCCCAAGGAACGCTATGAAATAAAGTACCCTGTGCAGATAGATACCAGTGTATGCCTAGTCTTTATTCTTGAAAAAATGCACATCCAATTCTTTAGCGTTTCCAGTACATCAGGTGTCAAAAATATTTTACAAACAAATCAAATGCAGCAACATTTATTCATGATGAAAGGAGTCTTATGGAGAGGGAAAAAAAAAAAAAAAAAAAAAAAAAGCCTTTCCCCACGTTTTTGATTTTTAAAATGTCAACAAACCAGAATCGGAGGAGTAAAATTACGTTTTTTCCTAAGGCGTGATCTTAAAGATTGAATGAAATATGAAAATAATTCACTTGCTTTTTGACCAAGACAATGTTTTACTATCTAAATACACAAAGTCTGAAGTTAAAAAGGTTGTTTCTTTATAGATTCCTTTTAAATTAAATACTTTTTCTATGCCTGAGTAAACAAATGTTAATAGTGTACATTGGTGGGGGGGGGGGCTAATGTTTTGCTGAAAACAAAAAATGCACCAATATTTCACAAATGATAACCAGGATCCATATTTATCAAGCATCCAGGGAGAGAAACTCTGTCATAACTGGCCCAGGATTTCCAGAATGAGGCTTCTTTGGTCCTACGTTTAGCTGTAGGAGTAACAGTTGCCTGCAGACGGCAAAAGATGGGACAAAGCGTCATCTAAATTGTTATTGTAGCCAAGGCACATTCACGTTTTTGTCTATATGATCTAATTATTGAAAAATAAATAGGGTGCACTGGCTGGATACCCCACAACAAAGCGCTAATATGAACTCAAGACGTCATAAGAAAAAGCTGCAACGTCATTTTAATGATTTTATGAGTTTTGGCAAAAACACATTTTTAGATTGAACGTGCAAAATTTAGCTCGTCATACACCCACAAGTGTAGCCATTTTCTTTTTTTCCCCCTTGCATCAAATTATCAGGATCTGCCCTTTTTTTTTTTAATGTAACCAATATTAACTACAAGATGTTTCGATTTTAAAAAGATCCAACGTGTTGTAAAACCCCCCAAAAAAACCTCCCTGCTGAAAGTGACTGCAGGAGACCTCATAAGGACCCTCATCCCCGACTCTGAGGTAAGACTTTCAGCATGATTCCAGGTGTCATCCTGAGATGCTTGCTAAATACGGGCCCAAAGATATATATATATATATATATATATATATATTCTTAACTCCCTTTAAACGAGTGAACCTTTCAACATGTGGAAATCCTTGAACACAACATAATGAATGAAAAGAGAATCCAGAACTCCAGAAGGTTTTGTGCACATGAAAACTATCGAAGAAATGGAAGAAGTAAATATTTATAGCAATGTTAGTGGACAGAGGCCCTAATCGTCTTTCCCGTCCCCGTCTCCTGTGAAAACACCTCGCACCGTGGACCTCTTTTCTATACAAGCCTTAGTGTTTATCGGTTTGGCTAGAAGGTTCTACATTTATCTACAAATATATAACAAATAAAACTTGCAGGCAAAAATAGTTAAGTTTCAATAGAAACACCCTTTTTTCCTGAAAATACAGCAGTATCTGAAATAATCCTCTCATTCATTTTTTTATTCTGTCCCAGTTTTCTGCATCATACATCAGGAAGCTCTTTTGCCTACAAACAGAAAAAAAGTATCTACAAACTTTGTAAACAGACCTGCTTTTTCCAAAAACATAAATAACTCAAAATATTAACAGCCAATGGAGCAGAAATAAGTTTTGAATGAGCAAGGGCCAAAGAGATAAATATACAACACCATTCAGATAAAAGAGAAGCTAAAAGGTTCTTTCATAAATCTTACAGACGATCTTCAAGCCAGGAGGAGGACCTCCCCTTCTCAATTAAAATAATAACAATAGAATAATAAAAACAGGTCACTTTCAATCTGAGTTTATAATCACCCCTTGTTTACCGAGAAAAACAAAAAGTTACCAAGGAGGGAGGGGTGGAGACAGAGTCCTTGTGTTGCAGTGGGGTATTAATAAGAACCAAAAATAAAAGAAGACCAAAGCATCCACACCAAGCCGTACATTCCTCTGAATGTTTGCTGTTCTTTTAGTCCAGCCCAAGTCAAGCTCACACAAGACTCCGTTCTCCTTCTAGCCCTCTGTCTCTCCTCTCCAAGTGTACGTTCGTTTTTTGTTTGAGTTGAGCTCCTTGGTGGCGGGCAGAAAAGTGGTGGTGACGTGTGGAGCGGGGTCAGATCAAAGGGAGGTCTCCAGGCTGTGTAGGGGGCTCCCTGGGGCCGAGGGGGTTCCTGATTTGGGGCCCTCTGGGAGGAGGTGGTTACTGCTCTCCACAGCGTTATTGTTCTGGTTTGGGGAAGGAGAGACCGGCGCAGTGGGGGCGGCGGTGGCGGGCGTGGGTGAGGGAGGCGTGGGCGTGGTGTTGCGGGGGCTGGCGGAGTTGCGCTTGGTGGGGGCGTCGTCCTCTGCGTCGGTGTCGTCTATGAGGGGAATATGGGGCTCAGAGTCCTCTATCCGAAATTCGGGGTGGGTCATGAAGTTGTGGATTGATGATCGCGACTCGGGCTTCTCCAGCCCCTCATAGAGGGAGATGGAGCTGCGGAATGCATTCACCACCCGGATCTGGAGGGAGGGAGAAGGGACAGGAAGCGGGGAAGACAGTTAGTCACATTCAGTAATGACATGCGTATGTTTGAATTTTAACACCACAGGTAAAAACCGAGGTTTTATTGGGTCAATAATAGGTAAGTTTTAGGGGCCAAAAATGATCAGTGAGGGGGGAAACTCTCAGAGCCACGTGCAGGTGAGGTTACGTAAAGTTGTAAATTTACAACTTGTTACCAGTTAACTCAAAACCACCGCAAAAGTTCATACTAGCTTAAAATTGTAAATAGGAGTAGCCAATATCCTTCAGTTTCACTTCTGTCTCACTTGTTTCTCTAAGTCACCCTCTGTTCTGCCTGTACATTTATTCTAGAGTATCAAATGAATGGAAATCAAAATGTAGACATGGCACCGAGTTAAAAAAAAAAAACTCAAGCT